TTTGGTACCCCACTGCGTTTTCAAAAAAACAATAGCTCGTCACTGTGATGTCGAAAATACATATATCTCGTATGCAAAGTATCCATTGCAAAACATTCGAAATCTGCTATGATGCGAGACTCAAACGTATTGTACGGTTCATGATAAAACCTTCCAAATTCATTTATTTATTAATTCGCAATTTTGCTCGCGAGGAATAAATTTTATAACACAAAAATTATATATTTAAAATCTACAGGCTCTACCGATTCAGAATGTGTATGTTGGTTTCGACTTTTCAACATGGTGAAATGGCCTATTGTGTATAGACTGATCTGTTTATTCATACATAAGTACTAAGCATAGTTTAGCTTGCGTTACACCGCTGACACTGTATCAAAACCTAGAATTATTTTCCATTCGATATGCAGCTGTAGCTATTTCATCTCGACATTTGCTGCAAATTCATTTGAATCATTTTTAAAGAAAATCGACCTCCAACGGTTCTTTAGTCTCTTATTTGGTGATTTGTTGCTTTACCGGGTTTATAGAGTTTTTTTTTGATATATCGAAGAGTAAGTACTGGCCCTATGCAGAAGATTGAGTTTTTGAGAAAACCTTCAACTTGAACACACCTCCAACCCAAAAACTACAAAATATAGAGACACAATTACCGCCGGAGGTGGCTTTTATTCGAAATGATGAAGTTTTTGAAATTCAACTAATTTTTTTTGGATTATTCATCATCAAAATGTAGCAAATAGCCCTATATCTATAAAGTAGCTACAGCTACACATTTAGCAAAAAATGTTTGATCAAAATAACTAAACATCTAACTAAGGCCCGATTATAATGCTCCGGATATAAAATTATACCCGGATATAAAATTTAAAAGTTGGTTTTTTCTCTATCTAGCTATGCAATTATGATCGATTCTTTAATTTTAAGTAAAAAGAATTTTTTTGCCTACTTTCATCTATTTGTTGTCACTACGGTGGTTTTGGTTTTATATCCGGATATAAAAAAAAATTTCAACTTCAACGCATTTTTTGATGAAATATCGATAGAAATTTGTATTTCTTTGTAATATCTTCCCAAATTTTATTGTTTTCGTCACTTTTCTTTGTCGTGAAAGTACCTTTCAACGTTGTTGAACTATTGATTTTATCGAAATAATCAACACAAATTTAGACGTAACTTTCGTCGTCATCCGCGTTTTCATGCGAAATCTTTGCGAATCTACTCGTTTATCGCGCCGTTGTGGCCTTTTGGGTTTGTTTTTTTCCGTATCGCTTCCACTTTCGTTGTCAGAATCAATCACTTTTGCTGCTGAAGCAGCCGCCCTACGTGTTTGGCGAGACATGATCTGTGTGGAACTGACTACTCTAGGGGCTAGGAACAAGTTGTGAGACTCACATAGATTCGCATATATTCAAGCGTTCGTGGCTTTGTTATTGTTGTTGTACACTCACTGCGCTGCGAATGTCTCGTATACACAATCACACGAATTCACAAATATTCGTACGGATTCGTCTCAAGCGCTTGTGTTCTTACCCCCTAGTGACTACTACTGACTGCTATTTGACAGCCGCTAAATGTTTATGTTTGAAACAAAAAACCGTTGTTTTCATTCGAACGCGTAATTTGCGAGGCGCAAAATATGAACAAAGTACTTAATTGATTTCTCCGTTTCAAATCAAATAGGTACTTGAGTTTTTATGCATTTGTTGTAATGAAGTTTTTTTATGAATTCTTGTCTGGTGTAGAAATTATGTCATATTTTTGCGAAACATCACGTTTATTTATCGTTTTGTAATGAAAAAATGATAAAAAAAAGTCGAGTTTTCGCAATTTTTGAAGAATAAAAAAATTTCGGAAAAAGTCAAAAAAAAAAAATCGATAAAATGAATGTTGTTTTTAATACAAATCGTCATTTGGTGCCCAAATTCATTCATTTCTATCGATATTTCATCAAAAAAAAATGCGTTGAAGTTGAAAATTTTTTTATATCCTGGATATAAATTCTATATCCGGATATAAAACCAAAACCACTGTAGTGACAACAAATAGACGAAAGTAAGCAAAGAAAATTGTTCCATTTGGCTTCTTTTTACAACAGTGGAATTTGGTTGGAACTCGGTTGACCGAAGCGCCATCTAAAGAACCGATGGCGAGTTCGTGATGTCTGTATGTTATACTTCAGTATGACGTTTGACAGAACGGAGAGTTTACTTGATTGTATTGTCACTAGCCTTAGATTATCTAGGTGGTGTTTGAGCTCAATATCAGTTGTCAAGTTCAAAGTGAATAGGAGAGTTGTCTTTTTACTTAAAATTAAAAAATCCATCATAATTACATAGCTAGATAGAGAAAAAACCAACTTTTAAATTTTATATCCGGAGCATTATAATCGGGCCTAAGATTCAATACGTTAAGTATTTTTACGCTTAAAAACAATTATTTAAAGAAAATGTTCAAAACTTGATGATCCACTTGCTCCAGAATTAATGTTCGGTCACACTTCGAAAAATCAAATAGTATGAGCAGGATGTCTTGATAATCTGTACAAAATAATATGTATTAGATATACTCACATCAAGTAGGTGTAAATTAAAAATTCATACCTTTCCAAACACTTCAACGTTGCAGTAAAATAGATTGAGTCCGCTGAAATGTATTGGCTCTTGTGATCGAGCAATGATCAAAATCATACTTTTCTGAAGATCCAATGGATATGTGAACCAATCAGAGTGAGTAAGTAGACCAATATTATGAATTTTGTTGGTTGCGATCGTCGCAAATTTGCAGAAAAGAAATGGCCAAAGGAGGCTACCAGTTATGCATACTGTGCACCAAACAATTAGCAAGGCATCGATATTCGACTAGAATAATAAGATAGACACGTAAGATGAAAGACACAACTCAAATCTGATCGAAAGAAGTAAGTAAATAGGAGGACATATACTCACATTTTCTGTATTGAACATGGTCAAAGCTAGAAAAAGCGCACTGCCGGGAAGCAATGAGAATATTACTCCACTATTTATTTCGGCTAAAATACGAAAAACTCTATAATACCCCAAAAAAATTGAATTATAATCAAATTAAGTTTGTGATGCCATTTCAAATGCTCCTTACTCATACACGTTAACGTGAATGTCGATGGCTTTCTTGATTTTTATTTGATGCTGTCGAGAACTTTGGTTTCGGTTCTTGTTCTCATCTTCCTTCAGCGACTTGAATTGCAGCTCAAAATGATCACAAATAGCAATAATGTACACGGCGCATGAAACAAAGTACGCTGTTGCCGATAGTATGACGGTAATGTACACAATAGACATGTTAAATTGAATAAACCACATTAGATACCATCCAAAAATAGACTCTGTACTAAACGGAACCCAAAGGGAAAATGGTAGAAACCATTTTGAAGTGTCATGCTGTCCCTTGTAAATGCAGTAAAAGGGATAGAGAAAAGCGAATGGCCACAGCAATTCGTGAAGTATGAAGTAATACCAAATAATTTGCGTATACTTTCGGCACTTTTGCTCAGCTTCCGAATAGATTGTGTACGATTCATCATCTGGATCTAAATAGAATACAGAAAAGTTTAATTTTTAGCTTTTAAACTCATTTTTGACCAGAGAATTGAATTCTGGAGAATTTCGGTACAGAAATCACTCAATTTTCACTCAACTTATTGTCATAGGGTGCTTATTGTTCCTTATCCTTGATAAAATATTTCAAAATGTTTGTTACTTAATTACCTTCGTTGTCAACTATCTCTTGAAGCTTGAGATGCAAAGCCTTAATTTTCTTAATTTTCATTCCAAGGGTGAAAAACATACCGATCGATTGCATATTACCGCATATGATGAGCAATGGGTCGAAAATCAGCTCAAATCGTGGCCAATGTACGTAAATAAATGCCGCACTTGAAGAGATACTAAATGTAAGCGTGTGCAACAAAATGTAGTAACTGCTTATTGACTTGAAGAATTCGTTGGTTGGGTCGGTCAAACGATACGAATAAATTCCGAGCAAATTCATAATCCATTGATTATATTTTAGCACATGAATTCCAGTCATAGAAAAAATTGTACGTAGATAGACTGATTTTATTTCAGTTATAAAATAGAAAGGCTACACACGATTCAAATTGAGATTTTCAATCAATTCCGAAAAATAAAACCTAGATTGTATCAATTCATTTATAATTTTAAAGCAAATATCTTCTGGCTCCTTATTTCTGACTATTTGTAAATGCCTGTGATTTATTCATTTAACACTTTTCGGCTTTTTCTATAGTCTATAAAGAATAACTAATCCGCAAGTTGTAAATTTCAACTAGACACTGATGTTAACTACTCTGCTTTATGTGCCCTTTTTATTTACTCGTTCATTCACTAACACAGCGATACAATTAAGTGTGCGCTTTAGAAACCCTCTCTAGAAAATTTTAATATTAAAAGCATAACTACATTTAATTGAAGTTAATATGTTTTGTCAGAAAATCCTTCAATAGAAAATGTTACGCTGTTGTTACAAAAGAATTCCTTAGCTATTGGCAGTTATCATTTTCAAACAGTCCAATTAAATTCAAGTAATTTTGTGATAAGTAAGTATATTTTTACATACTGCAAACATTAGCACTACAATTTTCAAAAGTGTAAATTGTCCATATTTTCTAATTCTTTTTATGTCAACTCTTTGCGAACGCGTACTTTCCCATGAATATTCGAAGAAATACAGAAGAAGAACAGTAACGAAATTTTATGTAAAGACATAATGGATTTTCTACTAAAGAAAATAATATAAAATATGGTAATCATGCGGTAAATTATACAATCGTTACATTTCAAGGACTATTTTCTAGTAAAAATCCATTTGCACGTTATGAGGATAGTACATTTTCAGTAATATGTAGATTGGAACGATAAAGCACTCCGCAGTAAATCAATTTTCTAGATAATTGAATTCGACGAATTTCTAATTTTTATAAAACATGTTTTTCTGTGCACAGAATATACAGCACATTTTCCTCTCGCCCCCAAAAAAAGACTTCAACAACAATCAATTTTCATAAATGCACAGTGTGCAGGTGCACTGAACACTTTTCAATGCATCGCATCTCATAAATTATGAATGTGAATGCAATGTGCATAGTGCAGTGCATGGCATCGAACATTTTGGGGTAATTTTACTTCGTCGTAAGGAATGGTGTCAATTAAAAAAGGAAAATATTGCATAAAATGGTTTTTTCAGATTTTCACGTTGCAATAAAATGCAAGCAATTATCACGGAAAAGTGTGTCACTTGAGTATTCGTTCCATAAGGCGTACCGTGTTCAAATGAAATGCCTGATATTCAAATTGTATGTGGGACGTAGGTTAGACTGGTCCAAGAAAAAAAAGTTGTCCACAAAAAAAAGTGCCGTCCAGTTTCGAAAAATATACCTAAAAAAATAGGTTTGGTCCAAAAAAATCATATGGGTACCATATAAAATACCCTGCCAGTTTTTATATCAAAATTTTCATGACAGCGATTTCGGAAGCCAATTCATATCTCAACATTTCGACCTAAATCATTTTTCCAGACAATTTTCGGCAAAAACCAATGATGAGGTTTTGTTTGGCTCGTCAATATCTACAACTCTTACCAAGACATCAACCCTTGAAAAGACATTCTGGGCCAGTTACAGTGTAAAATGACCAAAAAAATGGCAATTTATAGGGATTTTTTGCATTTTTTGCTCCACGAGTCACCCAAGTAGAGGACTTTTGTTTAGTTTTTGACTTTTGTCGTGTAGCTAGAATCTGTACAAAAATTTTGATACTTTACAGATTGCAATTTGGATGAAATTTAGCGACAATTGATCCTGGCATAAATGACACATTTCTGGCCAAAATGGACAAATCACAAACATGAGCTTCGGTTTGACACATAAAAGCATACGATTTCTACCTTTTCTGCCTTTGAACTTCTAGTATGATCCTTTACGAACATTTTAAATACTAACACGACCAAATCGAGTGATCTTTTCACATATTTCTGGCCTCATATTCGATTTCAACTCTAAAAAATCGACTTTTGTCCAAAAAATTCCTGAATATAGGCTTTTCAGGGATGGTGTCTTAGCGCAAAGTTATTTTTTCTCGAAAATGTGAGGAGTTTTCCTAGACAAAACAGGTTTTGTACAGGTTCTAGCTACACGACACAAGTCAAAAACTAAACAAAAGTCCACTACTTGGGTGACTAGTAGAGCAAAAAAATGCAAAAAATCCCTAAAAATTGCCATTTTACTTTTTCGCACGCCCATGTCGTGAGTAAAAGTATTGTAATCACTCCAAAACCTAGGTACCCCGAAAAACCATTTTTCTATCCATTTTCGACACCAAAAAGCACATTAAAAGGGTTATTTTGCTATGTTAATGTGGGTGTGTCGTACCCTGTACGCTGTACACTGTACGCAAAAATTTGTTAGCGCGATTGCTCAAATACCAGAATACGAAATGAAATTCTGCAAGTACCAAACGTTTGTGCTTCATTAGACTTGGAAACCATTAAATTTTCAGCCACCCCAGATGTACCCTAGGATACCTAGCCTATGAAAAACCTTAAAAAAATCGAACTTTTGTTCGGGAGGTACCCAAAATGAGCTTCCAGGTGGATTTTATCACTCCCACCCGATTTATTTCATCAAAATAATAGAGGCCCAGGAACAACCTAGCACCCTCTAACCCACTTTTTTCGTATCAAACCGGTATAATAATTCAAAATTTCTTGCATTTTTTTGTTCTTAATTTTGTTAAAAATCGCGCTTTCGTATGAGAGTTTCAAATCACTCCTTCGCTGTTTGCTCATTCATGTTGTTCTATGGATTGGAAGGGCTGCCATATAAATACAATGTAAAAAAAGACGCGTTACGATTTTGGTCAAGAAAAATGTGGTTATTTTAAATGGTATTTTTTTTGAACTCGTCACATTTTGTTCCAATTTTTCAATTCCAAATCAATATTTTTTTGCATTTTCATTCAATAAAACATTTGAATCAAATTTAAAACGAATTTTGGTTTAGTTTCTGAAAAACTGCTCAAAATCTTCACACAAAAACAATTCATGAAACGAAAAATTACACAGCACATGTTCAATCGAAGAAAAAAATAAAATGTTCTTTGAATTGAACATTAGTAGATGTGCAATGCGATGTGATGTCAGCCTTATAAAAAGCGCACACAGTCACACATTCCATTGACAGCTTCGCCAGTTCGAAATTCGTGTGGGGAAATTCTTATGAATTTCCTAGGCAAAATCTGAATAAAAGCTGAACGCTATGAAAACGGTGCGGAAAAGTTCGTCTTACGGAGGTAAGACTATTTATTTTTGGTCATTTTACACTGTAACTGGCCCAGAATGTCTTTTCAAGGGTTGATGTCTTGGTAAGAGTTGTAGATATTGACGAGCCAAACAAAACCTCATCATTGGTTTTTGCCGAAAATTGTCTGGAAAAATGATTTAGGTCGAAATGTTGAGATATGAATTGGCTTCCGAACTCGCTGTCATAAAAATTTTGATATAAAAACTGGCAGGGTATTTTATATGGTACCCATATGATTTTTTTGGACCAAACCTATTTTTTTAGGTATATTTTTCGAAACTGGACGGCACTTTTTTTTGTGGACAACTTTTTTTCTTGGACCAGTCTAACGTAGGTGCAAACCACTGAAACTGGCCAAGTTAATTGAATCTAAATCTTGTGAATGGACATAAATTATGCTACACAATCAGTGATTATCACTCAGTATCATTCAACCAGGCAATAGGGTTCAAACTTCTTGAACAGGCGACCATGACTGACGTTACGTACAGTTGTTTATTTATTTTAAATAATCATTTTAGGTCAGTTAATCGACTTGCCAGTGGCCTCTCAGTCAATATATTTTGACACGTGCTATGTACAAGTTCGGGTTTGATAACCGCTACATATTCTCAGGACCTAATCAAATCCAGAGAACATATTGGACCGCACATTAGTTAGCTACAGATGATGTTGTCTATCTTTGAACTAAGAAGACTATCTATCTCCCAGTGTAATAAATATAATGAAAAATTCAAAACAAGCGCCTTTTCTAATATTCTAATGATTTACGTTTCAACAAAAATCCCAAATCTTATCTGGAAGTACCTGATTTTCAAGTAAATATTTACATTTCTAATAAATTGAGATAAGACAAGTGTTTGTGCTTCGTTCAAAATGATTTATTTACTCTGTCAAAGCGAAGTGAAAGTTAGGATTCATTATCATCAACTGATTACAAGTGTATGTAAAGCGTTAAAGGTGAACTAAGCTCACAAAAAATGTATCTATCATCAGTTTTCGCAGTAGAAACGTAGAAACGTGTTTTTAAAGAAAATGGAGCACATATCTCTCATTTTCATAGATTTTCGTTGTGTTATCAATTGAGCTTTGAGTTTGACGAGAAGAAAAAAAAACCCGACCAAGTGAGAGACAAAACAAGTTGTGTGAATTCAGAAATAGACGGCGAAAAATCGGAGATGAAACGCGCAAAATCACTTGGTTCCACAATCAAATGTCTCTATTTATAATCACCATGTATCAAGTCTGTTTACATGGAGTGCGACGCGCCGAAAAGAGACTTAAAACAAAAGTCCATCGTACAAATAACACACGTCCACTACACAGGTCGTGCGGGAGACAGAGAGGAGAAGAGAGAGAGGGAGGGAGAGATAGAGAGAGCGACGTCATATCGTATCGGTCGGTAATAGATTTCAAAGTTTATTTTTCGTAACGAAAATTATTAGAAAACAAAAATATACGTACTTTCATGGTCAATTAAATGATATTATTATTTTAAATACACAGCACAAAATGTTGTTATGGCACAAAAATCAATGGACATCCATTTGCGTATAAAGATGTTTTTTTTTTTCTTAAAAACTAAATCAATGTTGGTTTTATGTGAACACTTGACTTTTGTATGGTGTTCGATCGGGCTGACGGCGTCTCAGTTCAATGAAAAACCCTTTCTCTGCATCCATGAGCAATGGTAACGCTTTTAGCTTAAGTGGATCTTGAGTTTTATAGCTTTTATCAACGAAGAACTCAGATATCAAGTAGAAAGCTAGTGTTTTGATTGCCATTAAAGCAAATCGAGATCCGATACAGTTACCTATTTTGTAAAAAAAGAGAGGAAAACTTCATTAGTTATCTGAGAACTTATCTAAAATTGAGTCACATATGACTCTTCTAATGGAAGAAAGATGAAAATTTTATCTCAAAATAAGAGACAAAAATAGCACTTACGTGGACCAATTCCAAAGGGTAAATAGGTGCCCGTTTGAATTGAACCTTTATTCTCGTCATTGAATCGCTCAGGATCGAATTTAATTGGCTTTCGGAAGTATTTGTCATCCATGTGCAGTGCATATGTCGGTACAAAAATGCCATCACCAACTTGAAGTTCAACTTTTTCCTCATTATTTTCTAAGACATATGGACGGTTGCATGTACGCTCCAGAAATGGTACAGGGCACCAACGTCGAAGTGTTTCACAGACAACTTTATCGAGATATTTCATTTTTGAAATCGATTCATATGCCAAAGGTGACCCGTTCAACTCTTCTTTCACACCGTTTATTTCCGCAAAAAGTTTATCTTGAATGTCTGGGTTAAGGCTCAACTCGTGGAACATGAAACATGCCGTTCCGGCTATGGCATTTAGCCCGCCAAGAATGAACACTAAACATTGTGCGACCACGTCGTCGTCGGTCCAGTCTAAGGATTTGAAGTGGAGTTGAAATTTAAATTAGAATTTGGATTGAAATTTGAATCGAAAATTCAAAATTTGAATCTGAAAAGGAGATTTAGGTTGAAAAATGGATCTGAATTTGAAACTTTTGTTTGAAAAATAAACTTAGTATCAGCTTCAATTCGAAATAATGAAGGAAATGGAACATCGACGTTTGAATTATCGACTGTGATTCAAAAAAAAAAGTTTAACAAACTGCAAATCAATCAATTATAACCTACTTTGAACTTTCTCGCTCGATTTGCCCACATTTGATTCGATCGTGGTGGCGAAGCCAACGTCTGTCTTATCATCTCCATCGGCATGTTCCAGCTGTCCGTTTCTAGCTTTAATCAAAAGATCAATCATATCATTTCGAACGATATTATCTTTTTTCCTCTTTTCAATATTTTCTTTCACAATTTTCCGCAGGAAATCCGCATTATCCTCTCCGGTCACCCGAATATCCAGCAGTTGAACAAGTGATGGACAACTGAGCGATGCTAAAAATTTCAAACCGTCAATAAATCGAAATTCACTCATCGAGTAGCTGGCCTTGAAGAAATCGTTATCTAAATCACGCATTGAGTTGATTTCGATGCCAAATGCGGTTGTCGCAATTATATCATTAGCATAACGTGTGAACAGATCACGAGAGTCGAATATTTTGGCAATTTTATCAGTCTCCTTAAGTGTGGCAATAAATTGTTCACTACTTTTAACCATCAACTCGTGCATCATACGCATTCGTGTGCCTGTAAATGCTGGACTCACTGTGCAACGCATTTGTCGCCACTTTGAATTGCGCATCCCGAATAAGGTGTGCGTAAACAGATCATTTTCATTGCCAAATGTGAATCTGTGATTAACAAAATGATCAAAATCGGTGATCATCAGCTGTTTGATCAAATCAGGATCACGTAATAAATAAGAGGGTCGACCGCCGAGATCATAGATTCCGATAAATTTCTGCTCAGGAAAGCGATCGTATAATCGTCGATATGAAATTGCAGCGGGCTCCAAACCGATAACTGATTTATATGTACTGCCCAGTAACGGTACACCACGAACAAATTTCACATTTCGATCACTGAAGTAATACCACGATCGCAACACAAACTGGTAAACAAGACCGAATAACGACGTAAATAAAAACAATAATAGCAAACTGCTATAGCTACCAATTGTGTCGTACATGTTTTTCAAAACAATTGTGTAAACGAAATTCTAAGAAAAGAATTATTTTATCTGGATTTGCTTTGAACACAATTTTCAAACTGTTTTCTCCTAACTCTTTTTCTAACACGTCGAAAATATCGTTGGATTCACTTTCGAAGAAAAGAAAAAGAAATCGTGCGACAATGTTGCTATTTTGTTTTCCGCTCGGCACAAGTGATGTGGCCAAACTGACCTATTCCGCAATTAAATTAGAACTAATATGCCATACGCGCATCAACTCACGAATCCCAAATAGAAAATTAATAGCAAACAGAATAGGATGGTAAATAAAAATTCAGCTGTTGCTACTGGCGATACGCAACTGATACAGTGACATTATCTCGTGTATGCGGTCAGTCGGTCGGGTGTGTATGCGTAATTTTCCGCTTATCCGCCGTTTGTCTCTATCTCTTTTCTTCCGCACCGAAATCATTTGCGCGTCTATTTCGTCATATTATCTGTCGACATAACGCAACGAAACATGGAATTAACCTAAATAGCGATATGATCATCTGTGTGCTTAGTTTTTGAAGATAACCACCGTGTTAGATAGATGACTTGTAAATGTATGGTGGTGATAAGAATGAGTTGGAATTTCAAGAATTTTGCATCATAATTTCCAAAAATGAATTTTAAAGTGTTCATTTTTCTCGGTAAAAAATAAAACTGGAATATGTAGATTAATTGCGACGATGTTATTAACGTCGAATCTAGATCTTGTTATGAAATTTTGCAATTGTTTACTTGAATATTAGCAATGTGTTTAGAATTCGACGGTTTGCTTATGCATTCGACATGCCGTTGCATATATGTGTGTTTACGGCAATAGACATAGACGCCGACAAGAACATTGATATGTGTGGCACCATCATGAGGTGATCTCGTGTCATGGTCAAGTACAACTGCACCGTCACATCGATACGCAGCGCTGTGTTTTCATAGCTGAAACTGTATCGTTTCGTTTCGCTCTGCGCATTTATTTTATTTGTAACATTTAATCCAAATGTGTTATAAATACGATATTATTTCGGTCTGGTTAATATTATATGTTGACAAATCGGGAGAGAGAGAGAGATACCGGTACACGCATATGATACGTGAACGCGAGCTATATCGAAACATACACGTTTCGTTTTGTTGCCATACACTACGCTCTCTCTTGCCATGACGTTTTAATAAAACATATGGTGTGTGCTCCAAGCGACGGTTTGTTGCCGTCCTAGCACTTGTATGTTTTATTGTGTCAATTTTGAAATTGACTCTATTCGCAAATTGAACAAAGAACAAAATTTATTCATTGCGCAAAACAGTAATGGATCGTCTGAAATGAGACGCCGTGATTTGAATGAAATTCTCCGAAAATTTACTTGTCTTATATTTTTTTTGTAATTAGCATTTTGCACAAAATGATTGAAATCTTAACTGTTTGCGATCGTCGATTTATCTACTTGAGTGAATGGCAGAGAAACACAAATTCAATGTCAATATTCACTTTCATCTGCATTTTGTTTGCTCAACGAATTCTTTTTAACGAGATATTTCAAATGCTATCTATGTTAACTCTATGCATCGAAATTTATCTCGTTAAACCAAATTGCTTGTTAATAGATAAGTAAGTGGGTTGATTTCACCAGCCGGGAACTCGCTGCTCTCTGTTATTTGAATGAAATTCGAACTGAAACTTTTGTTGCTTTGAATCAACTTGGAAGAATGGCTGAGATTTTTGCAAAGTACGGTGTCATATTTGGTCCCAATCGCACTAAGTACTTTGGTGAGATTTGCCGAACTAAATCCAGCAAAAAGTTTCTTTGCGATTTGATCACGAATGTTCTGAAACTCAGCATCAACATCCGAGTCAGAAATGGATTTTTGGTTTAAATTGGTTCCATTGGTCGACGGCTGGTTATCACCTTGAAGGACAATCGGGTGAAAATGTTGGGAAAACGTACATTTTTGGCTTTATTTAAATTAAATTCACAGATTTTTTCTTCTAACTCATTGAAATTTATTGTTAAAACTTTAAACAATAGATTAAACACATACGATGACTCAATCCACCATTTGGATAGGCTTCACTCCATACTAAAGCACTTAGTATTGGCCAAATTACGAGGAAAGTTTTGAATAAAATCATTTTGATTCAATCACTTTGCTTTTCATACACTTTTTAAGCGAATAACTTGAATTTCAAACTTGTGAAACTGATTGACTGAAAAACTCAAAAACTGATAATCCGAAGGGCTTGGCGTGTATTTGAATTTGAATCACTGGTCAACTAAATAATTTAGTTTGAATAATGCATCGATTTATATCAAATGGCCTTTCAATTACTCATATTTTATCAGATTTATTATGAAGACCCAAACTGCTTGCATTGTTCAAGTCATTTTATCTGTTTAAAATGGTGATTCAGTGAATACAATGAGGAAGACAAAGCAACAATGTTATTCTGATTTAAGTTCTGCAACGAACAAGCTAAAGCTCTCGAAATTTACACAATTTTCATAATCAATTTTGTATCAACGCTACAAGCTATGTTAAGATTTGTGTAAGAAATTGCGCGTGCACCTTTTCTTCAACAATGTTTGTTTGGGCTTATTTTTATGATAAATTTTTTTATCTATCCATATCTTGTGTGCTGTGCGCGCCTTTTGGATTCTATAATTTCAACATTTTTTCTATCGATTAACAAGGTTTTTTAATTGCAAGAATTACTTGATTGGTGAATGTGACCAGAAGGTTACCTTAAGATGTGTCAATGAACACGAACGAACAAGTTCGTGTGCAAAAATACAAAAACTTAAAGTTCCGGCTGGTGAAACGGAGCCCACATAGAATATGAAATATGTGTGATTCTTCTATATAGATCTGCTGCATGCAATGTCAATTCACGAACATGCTATCAGTTGTGTTAACTAACACACACGTACACTCCTCCTACATTTCTACGCGCCAAAGATGTATTGTAATAAGCGAATGAATTTTGAAGCACAACACGAACTGTGACTTGGAAACTGAATTCTCTTTCGTATTTTGATGAACTCTCTCTTTCTCTTCTCTTCATTCATTTTCGTAAACATCAATACCAGGCCTTCTCATCGTTTATAATACACTATATATGTCATATAGCAATTCTTATTCTTCATTTCCATTTTTATTCGCGTCATCAACACTGTTTGTTTTGCAGTTGTATGTTAAAAAAAAGTTGCTCGTACGAATACAACCTCAAATTTTCGATTCGAAGACAACGAAAACATGCGAACACATACACATATGACCGTGTCGTACACACCTAATTCGAAGGAAATTGTGGCATCATAACAAAATAAATTGTTTTGTTTTCATTTTATTTGTTTCGTGAGTCGGTGCAAAGTTTTTTTTAGACATATTTTTCATTTTTACTCCATTATTGATGAGTCATTAAATTTAAACGATTCTATTTTTTACTATCTTTCATTTTCCTGATGAAAAAAACTAATATTTTATTGTAATTTGACATAAGAAACATTGGATTTATGGTTCAACGAATGTCAAATGTAAATATATAGAATGAGATCACCACGTATATGAACTACATTGATCCAATACTAACACATTGATGCCCGAACATCATTTCAATGAATCAAAATTTTCACTCAACAGTCGAAATCATAGTGAGGATGGTGCTATATTGGATTTGGGATTTGTTCAGTGCATCAAATATATTATTGGTCATTTTAACATTGACCATATTATTAGTGTACAATTTCATATTCAAAAATTGGTGGTATTTCTCCGATCGAAATACAAAATTCATACGAGGATGGCCGCTTGTTGGTTCGTTACACGAGTTTTTCTTCGGTAAACTATCCTTCACCGATACCGTCACTTCGTTTTATCGCAAATTTCCGAACGAATCATTTTTTGGCATTTATGAGCTCACACATCCGATATTCATCGTTCGAGATCCAGATCTGATAAAAAAGATCACCGTCAACGATTTCGAGCACTTTTTAAATCATCAAGGTAGTTTTGATGATCATTTGGATTCACTGCTGTCACGAAGTTTGTTCTTTAGTCGAAATCAAAAATGGAAAGATATGCGATCAATTCTAACGGCTTCGTTTACTGCAAATAAAATGCGCATGATGTTCGACCTGGTCGTTGGTTCCACTAACAAATTTGTCGCAACACTACGGAATCAAAACAACGCTGAAAATGACCTTGAATTTGAGTTGAAAGATTTATTCACGCGATATACTACGAATGTGATTGCAACGACTGCCTTTGGATTGGAAGTGGACGCGTTGACGGATCGTGAGAATGAGTTCTATTTGGCGGGCAAAAAAATTACCAACTTTGATGGCATTCAAGGTTTAAAGCTTCTCTTGCTTGATGTCATACCAAACGTCATTAAATTATTGCGAATTCATTTCTTGGATGAGGGACTTTGCAATTATTTCAGAAGCGTTGTATTGTCGACAATGAAGTATCGAGAGCAAAACAATGTTTTTCGACCAGATATGATTCATTTGATGATGCAAGCCAGGAAAGGAACACTCCACGATGACGGAGATACAAGTGCCGTAAAGAAATACGGTAGGTGAAAAATTTTCAGATTGTTAATGAACTTGTTAATAAAGTGGAAACAACGCCTTGTTTTATGTGAATATTCAAGTTCAACTTCCAACAATAAGTTGAACTTTCATTTGTAGGTATAAGATAAGATTTGAACACAACGACTTGAAAAGTATTCATGAGTTATGGTTTTCTTATCGAAAATGTTTTACAGTAAAAAATTTACTGCACAATTCTCTTCATTTCAAAAAGTGAACCGAGAGTAATTTTTTCTACAAAACGGATCAATTTTCTTAATTTCAGATTGGGAAGACGATGACTTAGTGGCTCAGTGTGCCGTTTTCTTTTTCGCTGGCTTTGAAACTTCGTCGACGTTGCTTAGTTTCATGGCCCACGAATTGGCTTGCAATCCAAGCATTCAGCAAAAGCTTTATGACGACATAATTGCCATTGAAAAACAGCTGGGTGGTCAACCGGTTACTTATGAAACCATGAAAGATTTCAAGTACATGGAGATGGTTGTATCGGAAACATTACGAATGTGGCCACCACTATCGCAGTTTGATCGACAAGTAACAAAACCATATCGTCTGGAAGGAAATGATGGAACTGTGGTTCAGCTAACAACTCGTGATGCTGTCTGGATACCAGTTTACGGTACAGTTTAACTTTGCTTTTAGCCACTATATGGGCATATCACTAAAATGGATGCAAATCAAATATTTGTATCATTTTGTTTATTTTTCATAACTCACTAGGTATTCATATGGATCCAAAGTACTGGGAAGACCCAACACGATTCGATCCTGAGAGATTTAACGATGAAAATCGTAAAAACATCCGCAGCGGTACCTATTTGCCATTCGGAAATGGCCAAAGAACTTGTATTGCCTCTCGTTTTGGCATGATGGTCGCCAAAAAATTCTTCTTCCATTTACTCCGCGAATTGCGCATCGAAAAGTGTAATAAGACACCGGACCCCGTCATTCTTAAACCGAATTCAATTAATATGCACCCAAAAGATGGCTTTTGGGTGAGATTTGTACCGAGAAATTGATGTTCCAAGCTCAAATGTTCCTAATATACTGTGTATACAATGAATTGATGTAACCTTGCCTATTCTTTATTCTTTCTTTATTGATAAATGGCAATTGGAGTTTATACATTTAACAGCCTATAAGGCCACTTACAAAATGCAATTGGAATTACTTTATGGTTAACATTTTTTTTAATCTTAAAAATGAGAATGAAGAGAAAGATTACATTGTCTAGTTATCTCTCCAATGATGTGATTACATTCAAAGTTGAAATTAATGAAAATATTTCATTAGTCTAGCATATTTGATTATAGCTCTCTCTGTATCAGCTTATTTGTATGCATATAATAATGGGGAGAAGAGAGAACGAGATCGGGTAATATACATATATAGAGATCAGTAAGAGGTACATTACACGACTGAATAAGCGAAGGAAAAATATGAAAGTAATATGCTACCACTTAAATTGTTATTTAATTATTTTTTAAATAAAAATTCAATAAAAACGAAATTTTTTGGCTGGATTAACGGATCACACATATGCTATCAGCTGTATTCATTAGCATACACATACACCTTTCTTACATTTCCGAACGCAAAAGCTGTATTTTAATAAGCAAACAAATTTCGAAACACAACACGAGCTGTGGCTTGAAAACCGAATTATTTTTCGTATTTTGATGAATTCTCTGTCCCTCTCTTCTCTTCATTCTTTTTCGTAAACATCAATACCGGCCTTCTCATCGTTTGTTTGGAATATTGTATTGAAATATTCTTATCCTTCATTCCTATTTTTATACGCATCATTTGCACTGATTGTGTCGTGAATGTTTCGAAAATATTAATTCTCATGAATACAACTTCGAATTTTTCATTCAAAGATGACCAAAATGTATGAATTCATACATGTATAACTATGCCATATGAGTAAATCCACATAATTTACACCAAATTGCGGTACCGTTATAAGATTTTTTTGACTTCATTTGTTTCCTGCGACTTTTCAATTAAAAAAATTATTATAGATTCAGAGAAATATTTTCCATTTTCACCTCGTTAAACTTGAGCGAATTCTTTTATCGGTGTTCTTTTTATCTGCCTTTTACAAAATGAATATTTATTACCATTCGAAATATCAAACATTGGTTGCGGTCATGTTGTCCTGATTTAATGAATGACGAATTTATCTAAAAAAAGATCCCATATATCAAGTACATAATATACAATACCCAGTACTAATTGCGTCATATTGATGTGTAAACTTCCTTTGAGTATGGTCCCCTGATGAGAAAATTGCCGGTCGGCCAAATTTTCCTGGAATTGTGATTTTTATTCAAATTTTCGGAGAATCTTTAATGTAATAAAAAAAAACATTAAAAATCATGTACATTCTGCATATGATCGGTCTCGTTTATGGAATAATTAGTATCAGAAATGAAAAAAAATTGAAATTGTCTCAACACCCAATTTTTCATGGTAAAAATTTGTGTTCAGGGATTCAAAAAATCAGACCAAGAATGATGTTAATTTTTGGGAAAATTCTCTGGATTCCCCACCACGCATCTGGAAGCCTTAATCATTTCATTCAATTAACGCTTTACACATTCAGTTACCAGTCACCAGTCGAAATCATAGTGAGGATGGTGCTATATTGGATTTGGGATTTGTTCAGTGCATCAAATATATTATTGGTCATTTTAAAATTGACCATATTATTAGTGTACAATTTCATATTCAAAAATTGGTGGTATTTCTCTGATCGAAACACAAGATTCATACGAGGATGGCCGCTTGTTGGTTCGTTACACGAGTTTTTCTTCGGTAAACTATCCTTCACCGATACCGTGACGAGCTCACAAATCCGATATTCATCGTTCAAGATCCAGATCTGATAAAAAAGATCACCGTCAACGATTTCGAGTACTTTTTAAACCGTCTCTAAACTAAAAAAGGTCTTTCCCTTATAACTGATAAATCCTCCAATTTCAGATTGGGACGATGATGACTTGGTGGCCCAGTGTGCCGTTTTCTTTTTCGCTGGGTTTGAAACTTCGTCGACGTTGCTTAGTTTCATGGCCCACGAATTGGCTTGCAATCCCAGCATTCAGGAAAAGCTTTATGAGGACATAATTGCCATTGAAAAACAGCTGGATGGTCAACCGGTTACTTATGAAACCATAAAAGATTTCAAGTACATGGAGATGGTTGTATCGGAAACATTACGAATGTGGCCAACACTATCACAGGTGGTGGAAGGAAATGATGGAACTGTGGTTCAGCTAACAACTCGTGATGCTGTCTGGATACCAATTCACGGTACGGTTCAGTATTGCTTTCATCTACTATTTATAGATTCTACTACATGTCTACTAGGCATTGTCTAGTACAGTTGTCAATATTTGTATCATTTTGTTTATTTTTCACCTCATTATTAGGTATTCACATGGATCCAACGTACTGGAAAGACCCAACACGATTTGACCCTGAGAGATTTAACGATGAAAATCGTAAAAACTTCCGCGGCGGTACCTATTTACCTTTCGGAAGTGGTCAACGAATTTGTATTGCCGCTCGTTTTGTCATGATGGTTGCAAAAACATTCTTCTTTCATTTACTCCGCAAATTGCGCATCGAAAAGTGTGATAAGACACCGGACCCTGTCATTCTCAAACCGGATTCAATCAATATGCACCCAATAGATGGCTTTTGGGTGCGATTTGTACCGAGAAATTGATGTTTCAAGCTCACATTTTGATAATGTACTGTGTTTAGTCAATGAATTGATGTAACCTCGTCTAGTTATCTCTCCAATAAAGTGATTACATTGAAAGCCATTGAAATTATTCCATTAGTCTAGCATATCTGATTACAGCTCAGCTTGACAGCCGATCATTTTGATACCAACACAATAACATCTAAAAAAAAACAACCATATGTGTGACTGACCAAACGAAAGCATGTATGGTTTGTTGTGTATAACACAATACATGCTCTATACAAAGTGTTTTGGTTGCGTGTGAGAGATAAATAGGAAGCAACACATACGCATACGTTAGAGGCCTGCAAACAACACAATTGAAAGTGTTTGTATTGCGACACACCGACGACGGACACATATATTTTTCGCACACGTGTATCGTTGGAAGTTTGTGTGTTTGGACACATTCGTAATATATTCACAAACGATGAACACTGATATCGAAGACGAAGACGCTTGCAATGATTCAGTTGATGTTTGCTTGGTTTTGACACTGGTCTTCATCAATTTTTTGTACATTTCGTTCAAAGACACATCTCAACATGGACGCAATTCAAAACGGATGGTTTAGTGAAATTAACGATCTTTGGCCCGGCCAGTGTTTTTCATTGAAAGTCAAAGAAGTTTTGCACGAAGAACGTTCCGATTTACAAGACATCAAACTCATTGACACGTAAGTAATTGCAGCCGGAGAATAAACGATTGCGCAAAAAAAACGGCTGAAATATTAACACTATGACGGTTTTTGGGGAATCCAGGGCCCCAAGCGAAATTTAAAGTTGAATAAAAGTACTAAACAGTGTATAAACCAACCGGAGTTAAGTCTCATTGTATAGATTGAACATTTCTCTAAACGAATGACATATGCACATATGTGTGAGTATGTGTAAAATACAGCCTTCCGAAAAACATGTTACGCTGTTGTTCTTTGGGGACCACAGGGCCCATGGCTATTTTATTTTATAACTGGACTATGATAAGAGATATCGACTTGGTGTCTGTGGCAGTGTTGTAGACTAGTTTATGTACTACAACTTTGCCGTAGACATCAAGTCGTTATCTCTTATCAGTTACGCGAAAAAAAGATAAGAAAAAATTCGCGTTTTTCACGGTTTTCGCGTAACTGATAAGAGATAACGACTTGGTGTCTGTAACATAGTTGGAAGACTTGATCAGAGGTACAACTTTGCCATAGAATCGCTTTCTCTTATCAGTTTCGCGAAATATGCGAGAAACCGCAGAAAACCGTGAAAAACGCGAATGTTTTCTTATCATTTTTTCGCGTAACTGATAAGAGATAGCGATTCGGTGTCTGTGGCAAATTATAGTACTCGACCAGAGCTACAACTTTGCCATAGGCATCATCTCGTTATCTCTTATCAGTTCCGTGAAAAATGATAAGAAAAAACGCGTTTTTTTCGCGGTTTTCAGCGGTTTCTCGCATATTCCGCGAAACTGATAAGACATAACAAGATAATTTTCGACAAAGTTGTAGAACAGCTTCAGTACTACAACTTCGCCATAGACATCAAGCCGTTATCTCTTATCAGTTACGCGAAAACCGCGATTTTTTTCTTATCATTTTTACGCCTAACTGATAAGAGATAACGACTTGGTGCCTGTGGCAAAGTTGTAGTATTCGACCTGCTCTACATTTCTGCCGAAGAAGCAAGACTTTTACTTCTTATCAGCTTCACTAAAAATGAGGTGGGAAAATGTCGCGATTTTCGCGGTATTTCGCGTTTTTTCGTGGAACTGATAAGAGATAAGCAATATTTGTCGCAGCAAAATTATAGCAAACCTCGAGTATTACAACTTTGCCTCAGACACTATTTTGTTATTTCTTATCACAGTCCAGATTTCATATGAAGTACATATGGGGCCCTGGGGTCCCCAAAGAACAGAAATAGGTAAAAAGTGTGAAGAACCGTCAAAGTGTTTAAATAGATTATTAACACGTTTTCAACCTTTGTGCATCAGTTCAAGCTGACTTTTAGTTACTATGTTATCAATATTTGCATCATTATTAATCTTATTTGTTTCTTATTATCGGCTAGGTTTGCACATGGTCGTGTGTTAATCTTAGACGGGATAATTCAATGCTCTGAAAAAGATGAATTTTCCTATCAGGAAATGATCTCGTATTTGCCGCTTTGCTGCCATCCGAACCCTGAAAACGTGCTCATCGTCGGCGGCGGCGATGGAGGTACAGTATCAATCTTATCTTGTTCGAATTTTTTTTTTCATAATCAATCAAGTCTGAGTTTTGTCTTGAAATTGGGAAATCAACTCATTCGAAATGAATTTGATGAATTTACTATAGTGTTTTTACTTTTCGCACTTTTCAATTCTTTTTACTTTGTAACTTATCAAGTGGTGCCAAGACACCTGGCAATCATTTTCAACTGTAATTGATAAGCATTTTTTTGATCTCAAATTGTATTTTGTCGTTTTCAATGTCATTTCATAGGTGTGGCACGTGAAGTGGTCAAGCATCCCAACGTGAAAAATGTTCATCAAGTGGAAATCGATGGGCGTGTTGTGGAAGTTTCGAAGAAATACCTACCAAATATGGCTTGTGGATTCGATTCACCGAAACTTACACTTACGATTGGCGATGGTTTCGATTTTATGAAGAAGCATGTCGGCCAATTTGATGTTATCATCACGGATAGCAGTGATCCAATTGGACCAGCTGTCAGTCTCTTTCAAGAGTCATATTTTGCTCTAATGAAAAAGGCACTCAAGCCAAACGGAGTGATTTGCTCGCAAGGCGGCACTTTTTGGACAGATAATGAACATGTTAAGGCTACATTGGATCATTGCCGTAAACAATTTTCCACCGTTGGATACGCAGTTACATCGGTGCCGTCATATCCATGTGGTACGATTTTTTTTCTTCATTTTTTACATTTTCTTGGAGAATTTTTGTGCTTGAACATCAAGGCTTGAAGTTGAAATCTTGAACTTCAAGCCTTGAATGGCCTTCCTCTTGGAGAGAGAGTCTTTGACAAAAACTCTTTGTGCTTGGAAAATTTTCAAAGGAGTCTGACTTTTATTCAAGTTTTAATTTTCAATCAAAGTCAAAATTTTAGCTAAAATCGATGATTTCCAACGAAATCCAATGATTCTAGCCCTAAAACGTTCTAAAATGAAAAAAATTCTCTTTCTTACCATTCCCAGGCCAAATTGGATTCATAATTGCATCTACCAACGAGGGACATGCATTGAAGACACCAAAAAAGGTCTTCACCGCTGAACAATTGGACAGCATGAACTTGAAATATTATTCGGCTGAAACTCATCGAGCTGCATTCGAAGGATTGCCGCGTTCCGTCGCCAAGGAATTGTACAGTTAGCTTATCGTGAATGGCTCTCCAATGGAACTAAAGTTCCAATACTATTGTAACATCAAGTTACAATCGATAACTACAATTTTACTTAAATCGATTGTATCGTTGCAATAAAAAACGCTTCAATTTACAATTTCTTATCGAATGTCTGTGTGTATGTTTTTCTTAACTTTTTTTTCAACCGTGTGCGTGCATTCGGCAATCAAGCGTATCAACAAATGAGAAATATCGTATTCAATAAGAATATGTACGAAAATAAAATCTATTTACAACACAGCATCGCCGTGCCGGTTGTGTTGCATCAGTCGATTGTCATATATAATCGAGACTTGCGTCTGAATTGAAGACGTGGGATTTTGTTTTTGTAAAGACGACTTTTTTTTGGAAAATATTTTTGCAGAACGTTTTTGGAGGAGATTTTCGAACAACGTCTCTGTTTAACGTTTTTGAACAACGTTTTCAGACTAGAATTTCTGTAGAGTATTTTCGTGGGACATTTTTCCCAAAAAATCAACCTAAAAAGTACCAAATCAAATCAAACTCGTAGTAGCAATGTTGGTGACGGTATTCTTCACTGGTCTCGGTATAATCTACTTGACGTTAACTTTCATCGTGATCATCGCTCAGTTTCGTGAGGACCGGAAGAATGAGCGTCGTAAGAAAGAAGCGACAGCAAAGCGAATTGCATTGAACGATCTAGATGATCCGTCGGATACATCTCCTTAGGCGATCTATATCGAATCCAAAGAATCCAACGAATCCAACACTATTTTTAACTGCCAACGGCGATTTTACAACACTTCTTCAACCGACTTTTGAAAGAATCTATTTAAATATTTTGCATATATTTTTGATCTTGAACCATAGTATTACTCTTGGATATGTAGCAATAAAAAGAGTTAACAAAACAATGTATAAAAATGGAAAATTATTTTTCGAACCCGAAGACTGCTTTCTAGTGGCTTGCAAAAGAAAGAGTCGAAAATAAAAAAAAATGTATTGCAATCGGCTAAAAAGGGCTTTTTTTTAGCACGCGCAGTCGATTTGCACATAAAATCCTTCGCTGACTAGAAATATTTCTTCAGTCGTGCTATCGAGATTTATGTTTGAACAAGATGCGATCTAAAAAGGTTTACCTCGTCATTTCGTCAAAAGTGTTCAACGAACTGTATGACATTGGGAATGGAGTGTTTGAGTCGTGTATATTTTGAATCACACGTCACTTTGTGTTACCGTGCAAACATTGTGCAAAGCGAGCGTCGAATAAAATTCACTAGGAATATGCAAACGATGCCAGATTTTTCATCATTTTTTCAACCATCAATAAATAAGATGAAAAAAATCGATCGATTTTGTTTGCATTGCACACGCAAATGGACACATTCGCCATATCACGTCGACTGCAATTGGCCAACACACTTCGAGTATAGCATTTTATTTTAATCATTCGATTCAATTTCATAATGTTAGCAGGTGAGATCGGCAATGATATAAATCTGGGGTAGCACTCGGACAATTTAGTACCTTTTTGAATCCGATTGAGGGTGTGCAACGTCGAGATAAATCTTTGTAGTTGTTCAGTCCAACGAAAAAAAATCAAAAGAAATCAATATGAAAATAACATTGATTGTGTTCCTGTCGTTAGTTACTTTGGTGATTTGCGGCGACAATCCACCCAAAGACAAGTGCGTATGCACAGAGCGACAATGCACAGATACATCATGTGAAGATAAACATTGTCTTTGCATTATTGTAAGTTTTGACCTTTTTTATCTTCGTTCAATAACAGTTTTTGACAAGAAACAAATTCGTCTATCTTTGCTTTTTTTTCCTGAGTTCAACGAGAGAGTCTCTCTCATGTCAGAGAGAAATCTCATTGAATATGATACACAATTATTCTTCCTTGACTATGCATTTATCCTGGTATTTTTGATCATTTCAGAAAGCAATTAAGAATCTTTTAGCACAACCACATCTAAACTACCCAAAAAAATGGTTAGAGTTCTACTTGAAAATCATCCAAGAACGTTGTCTTTGCATTCGAAGATGCCAAACTATCTGTAGCCCGAAAGAACTTATGTAAGTTTTCACGGTGTTTGATTCAGTTCTAGATTTTCAGAAGAAAAAAAAACAAATATTTTTTCGTATACATAACTAATTTTTGTTTTCCCGTTGTTTCTTCAACAGTGAATGTACAACCCATGCATTCGAAGTGTTTTATTGCAAATTCCACAAATGGCTTGCCGGAGTGAGTTTCGAATCATATTATTTGTTGTTCTTTTTAATTTAAAAGTGAACAACTCCTTTGCGTTTTCAAATCTCATAGCAAAATTGTGCTAATCATTTTTTTCTTTGAACATTTTCCTCAAAATTCAGATTTCTGGAGACAAAGGATATAAAGATTTCATTAAGGACATCCAACATATTGTAAGTGTTGACTTTTTTTGACGATTTTTCTACCATTTTTTTATCAGATTTTTACCATTTTTTTTTCTTCAATTTTTGCTTTGTTCCGAGTTCAAAAAGTGTCTCTTTATCTCATTAGAGAGGGAGAGATCTCATTGGATAAGATACAAGATTACTCTTCTTTGACCATGCATTTATTCTGATTTATTCGATCATTTCAGCTCCGAACTTGTCTCAACAAAGATTGTAAACCAATCGTACGTATATGCCTCCGTGTTCAAACTATTTTTTTCATTTTTATTTGAATTTCTGGATCGATTTTTATTTTTCGAGAAAGAGAGAGAGAGAAAGAGAGAGAGAGAAAATTGCCTTTGATTTATTGAACTCTTCCATTTTCATTGATCCAAAAATGTAGTGCTCCGGTGACGATGGCTGCAAAGCATTCAACATTAAACCAAAAGACTGCGGCTGCACAAAACGATGTGTTGTGGCAAGTAGAATTTAGTCTCTGATTTTAACGCACAATTTCAATACAAAATCATTCTTATGAAATTTTTTTTTCTTTCATTTGTCTGGTTTTCAATACAGAAATTCCTTCAAGATTTCGCCAAATCTTTGGAAAATGAATTTGCTAAAGATTCAATCTCCAATCTGGCTTTGTATGCATCAGCATTCTACGATCAGCGCATGAACTGCGAGCATATTAAAAATGAAAAGTATGCATTCGAATTTCTTTACACACTTTTTGGCAATTTATTTGATTAATCGAATTTCACATTTGCAGCCAACGAGAACTGTGCATCGAAACGGCAGAAAGAGAAATTAACCGTATCCGTGATGCTATCAAAGACGAATTGATCACAGAAGTAAGCGGTTTTTTTTCTTCTCATGTCAACTTATTTATGAATAATTTTTAATTAGCTTAATTCATCAATTTTCGTTCAATATTTTTTTTTTCTTTCAATTTGAGTGAATTGCCGACGGGGAAATGTTTATTTTCCATTAATTTTTCCATCCTTCTTTCAAATGTACTCATCTTTCATTTTTCTTCTAACCAAAATTACAGTTGGGAGTTTGCAGAGCTATCGGCATTATGAGTGCTGTTGACCAAGGTATTGGTGGCTGCGCCTTCGAAAAGAAGTAGAAATCAGTTCAACCGAAAAAAACAAATTTCTCACTCACACCCCCCCCCCCCCCAACATTGATGAACTCGACCATTATTTTTCTCAATACGCAATTTCTCTCCATTCCAATGTAATTCTTCTTTCAAAAAAAAATTAGTGTTTAATAGAGCCGTAAATCATTTCCCTATGGACAAAAACAAATACCTTCTCATGTGAACTTCTACCTATGAAAATCTTCGTCTATATGGACGTTCGAGAACAAGGAGTTCATATGATAAAACAGATTTATCATTTTTCTTTCTACATTTATTTTACTCTTTTTTTCTTTGTCTTCTTCTTCTTTTCAATAAACATTTATGTGCATTTTGAATTTTAGTCGTTTTTTTTTGTCTTCAAAAAAATACAGTCGTTTCTTTTCTTGAACAGAAATACATTTTTATTTAGAAATGAATACACAACCACCTTTCTCATAAACTGGTCTCAACACTCGGTTTCGATGCAATTCCGTCTGAAGCAAACACAGTGAATCTGCTTACGTTCGCTAGATGGCGCTGTACTCTCTTATCGCAGACAGACACAAAGTAAGTGTCAAAATGTACGACGAATGACAGATGCGGACCAGTTTTCAATCCATGTGCTCACAAAACACAGTCAATGCTAGTAAACAGAACGGTTTTGCACGCATGAAACATGAAAATATCGACAGCTAATTTTAAAAATCCGGCGTACGTGGAAAATCATGAGATTTTCGTCGGTACACACACTGGATCCATTAAACGTAAGTAGTGTTTCTTAGTCAAGTGATCAAAATTTGCATTTTTGTTGATGTGTTGAGCAAAATGAAATTTTGAGTGATACAAAAAAATGTGTTGAGACCACAGTGTGGTATTATCACACCGGTTGGTTTGGCTGCCAAACAAAAATTGTTGGCAAATGGCAAATTCTATGGCTTCTTTCGTGTTGCGTGTTGATTTTTGGTATATTTTGCAATGAAGAACTATAATTCTTCATGTGATGTGTTCCTTTATATTTCCATCATAAATTTGTGTTTTAAAAATGTCCCTTTATCCTAGGTATCGGTTTAACTGATGAAAACCCGCACAAGCAGACCAATTTGGAGGATATTCAGTCATTGACAAAAACCAGTCGAATCACAACTCTGAATTTCGGCGAAAATGATGATGAAATCCTTGTGGGTCGTGTCGAACCGGTGGTAAAAGTCTACGAAACACCATTAAACTCATTTACGGGCAATCATACATTCGAACACGGTCCCGTCGTCGGTTTGGCCAAATTTAATGGCAAAATCATTGCCGGTTTGGGCAATGGAAAAATTCAAATTGGCCATAAGAAACCAACGTTTTTAGAGGCTGGTGATGCGATGTCACGTATGCGACAATGTGCTGTGGAACGAAAATTGATTGCCAGCGGCGGTAAAGAGCGTCAAAACAATCTGAAAGTTTGGAATTTAGAAACAAATGAATGTGTTTTCCGTACAAAAAATGTCCCCAACGATTTTTTACAACTCGAAGTACCGATTTGGGACACAGATTTCGGATTCATTGACGCCAATTGCTTGTCCACCTGCTCGAGATATGGATATGTTCGCGTGTACGATATGAGAAAACAACGTCGTCCAATTCACACCTATTTCAATGACAAAGAACAAATCAGCTACAGCTGCTTAGCGCTGCATGGTGACGTGGTTTTTGCTGGCACAACAACCGGAGTGATGCACGCATTTGATTTACGTAGAATGAAACATGTGCTACACACTTACAAGGGCTTTGCGGGCAGTATCAGTGATATTGGTGTGGATGGCAGTGGCAAATTCCTGTATAGCGCTTCACTTGATCGGTTTGTACGAGTTCATCATGCGGAATCCACCATTTTACAGTATCAATGCTATGTTAAATCCAAAGCAACGAGAATTTTATTGAGAAATTACACACCACTCCAGGTTAAGGAAGAAAATGACACAACGGCAGAAGAGATACCTTCGAAAGTTCGACGAACCAAGGCTAACGACGATCAAGATGAGGATGGTGATGACGATTTCGATGAAATGTTCAACAACATGCAAACCGTTGTGTAAGTGGAACTTTATTTTTTAGATTTTTTGCTTTACTTTTTGTATCATTATCAATTCCATTTTTATCTTTTTTATTTTTTATTTTTATTTGGACATTTTTTCATTCGATTTATTATTTTTATTCGATTGCTCGAAAATTATTCATTAAGAACTTTTTTCAAATTTTGTTTTTATTCGCTTTGCTTTTGTATGCCTCATTTTTGTCTGACCACATTAGATTTTTTCCTCTTTTTTATTATTTTTTGCCATTTTTCATTTTAAAATAAATAAATTTCTAATAAAAATGTTCTTTTCTTGCAGCGACGGCGAGGAGAAAGAAAAGAAAATTAGCACTGTCAAAGAAAAGAAACGAAAATCAACGGACCGTATAAACCCGTTCAACAAATTGATGAAGAAGAAAAAGAAATGAATGTATTTCAACGTTATTTAGTTTATTTTTCTGGAAAATATCAATAAAATCTTCATTTTAATTCAAATAAATGTTAATGATGAGTTTGAACCGAAGAAAATGTATTTTAGAGATAGATTTTTTTAACGTAGCCTTGGGCTGGAAAGTGTGAGCCAAAAAAATACTTTTAAAAAGATTGAGTTTGAATTTATGACAAAACGAGATTTTGATCTTCGTAAGTTGACAAGAAAGGTTCTTGTTTTCGTAAAATTCCTTAAAAACCTAGTCATTTTACTGGTAATATAGGTAAGACATATAGCCAAATTATAGGTAAGACTTATAAGTACAGCCAAAGCATTACTTACATTGCTGTCAGTGAACTATCAAGTCACCATCATGCCAATCAGGCACAGCTGAAAAAGATTCCGTTCCAAAAGGCATCAATTTAGAAAAATTCTCCCAATCAAAATGCATTTCAAATTGAATCAATAACACAGTTTGACGCGTGTTTTTTTTTTCATTTGGCAATTGAGTAGTTTTCAATTCCGTAGTCATAGAGATCTAAAATATCGCATGGAAGTCCGTCTCATGTGCCGAATAAAAACACGCGTCGGACTGTGTAATCCAATCCAAATGAATAAAAACAAACAAAATTTAGTTTGTATAGAAAAAAAAGAACTTTATTTTTCAGTTTCGAAAATCATTTTGAAACAGCAAATGAAAGTATCATGGCAGCATAGCCATATGAAAGCGAGCAGGGTTACTAAAATGCTAATTGATTTTTTTTTAATTTTCAAAAAAAAAGAAGTCCATTATTTTAATTTGCCTACTAGAATGTTATGTTATTATGCTGGGCTTTCTTGTGGCCGCCGTAAAAAAAACGATTTATTTAAATTGAGAAATTTTTTTAGAACTTGAAACTTATTTGATTGCTTAAACATAAAAGTTAACTAAATACTAAATGCGTATTAATTCAATTCTTCAATTTTCTGTTGATTGAAAAAAATTGAAGGCGCCCTATTGCCAAGTGTACTTTTTTTTCTCATATTTATTCTCAAAATTATTACGAAATGTACAAACTAAATGATTGTGTCTGTTTTTTTTTGGGTTAAATTGCGCGATTCGACTAATAACGTTACAATTAAGGGGAAAAATGTGAATATTCGAATTTTGATTTATTTGTTGTATAATAAAAATTTTCAAAGCGCACCTTGAATTTCAACCCGAGTTGATGGATGTTGGTGTGTTCGGCCAAGAGTGTTGACGTGGGCTCGCTGATTGTGGTCATACGTTGCAATGGACTTTATTTTGCTTTCTGTGGACGATTTAGGTTTTGTATGAAATTTTAATTACCTCGAGCGCTATCAATATATCAATTCTCGTCGAAATTGTCGAATTTGTTTCTCATGTTAACTTCTCTTTATCCATTTAGCAATGAAGATTTTGAAAAATCCATTTAGCAGTGTACATTTTGCTTAATCTTGCGACAGCTGAAATGAGAAAATTCACACATTAACAAAAAAAATTGAATTGGACTGCAGCTAATGTGAATAGCCAATTAGTGGCTCAAACAGAATTTCTTAGCAGTGTTCTTCTTCTCTAAATGAAAGCGATCGACTGGTTCAAACCATTTCCTGGTGTAAGGAGCAGTATAAAAAAAAATTTTTGGGATAAAAATTAAATAATTTTTCAATTGAATTCAATTAAAATTATTTCAAAATGTTGAGACTAATTTTTTTCGATAAATTCAATAAAGAAAAAAGAATTCTCTTTTAGCCCAGCAAATAGTTTGACATTCAATCAACACACTCAAAATGAATTAACACTAAAAAAAAATAATGAAAATTCGTTGCCTTTGTGATAAAGTTCAAAAGTTCTTGTTTGGTTTTGCCCATAAAATGCGTGAAATACCTCAAAAAATGCCGGGGGATTTGTTTGTATTTCTTTTGTTATTTTAATAAAAAAGAGTTAATTGTTTCGAGAAAAAAATTTCGGTTTAAAAAAAAAGCACCAGATTCGATATAATCTGGTTCAGATTAGCAAATCAAATGTCACAAATCCAGTTGCCCTCTGTGTGGGTGTGTGTGTGTGTGTGTGTCGGGTGGGTGCATGTGTGTCACTCGGCGCATGCCATTCGATAAATCCAATTGTTTCGTTTTTTATCTTTAAATTTGGTGTCGGTATCAAACTTAATTTTAAAAATGATAAAAGTACCTCATTTGCTTTGGAACGATCGCTCGCCAACTAAATAGAAATTGTGTATCGGATGCCATGAAAAATTGAGGTGTGCCCGTGCGATAACTGATATTTGGGCTACATATTGTGTGGATGACTCGCGCGGTAAATTCATTGCAACTCTCTTTCATAAAAAAAAATTAATCTCGATTGTGTTTGTTTTTTTTTTGGTTTGGGTAAAGGAACGTATTTTAAAAGTAGTTAAAGAAAATTAAAACGCAAAAATAAGATGAATAGAAAAACAATCACATGGTCTATGTTCGGATGCATGCTAGTTATAAACATATCTATAGAATCTACTGTATATCTGCTGAGACTAATGTTCGAAATTCAAACGTTGATTCTTAACTTAACAAATTGATCATCGCATGGTTGTTTGTTGAGTTTATTTGTTGTTAAACTAACCTGAGAACGCCCAACTTTTTCATTTCGATTACATTTTCTATATACAATTTTTTTTTTCGGTTCATAAATGCGTACATAGTGCGCTCAAGTTGTTTGCTATGTATGTTTTGCACAAACACAATTTGTAACGATCACTTACCTGGGTAGTGGTGGTTTTTGAGCTTTTTTTGTAATGATTGGAGGTACCTCATTTAGAATTTGTTTTGTGTTTGCTTGTTTGAAAAAAATGATTTGTGGTTGCATGGAGGGGGGGGGGGGGCGCCATTCATCGAATTGAATTGTGGTGTTTAATGCCTGCTCGAGCTACGGCTGCGACTCCGGCGGCGGCGATTGTCACGGTCACGGTCACCACGGTCTCGACGATCTCGGTCATCGGCTGGAAATACAGAAATAGGTAATAATTAAAATGTTCAAGCAAAAAGAGACAACAGATAGGTAATTAATACGAAGTTAATAGGGCTAAAATGTGAGGTTATCATACGAAAAAGTTGAGCTATTTCAGAAAAATTCAATTCTTCAGTAAAAAAAAATAGTTTAAAAAATCAAACAAAAACTCTCAAAATGCTATCTATTATCAACATACATCTTCGATCCCTATAGTTGTTTCTATCCCGGCTTCTGTCGCGTCGATGTGACGGTCGGTCGCGGTCTCTTCGATCTGGTCGGTTATTGTCTCTTCGTCGGTCAAAGTCATCCCTGCGACGATATCGATCTTTATCCTCTTTTTCACGTTCTTTTTGCCGTTTTTCATACATTTCCTCCACAGCCTTGCGTAATTTTGAATAGCCCAAATGTTGTTTACCCGACAAATGGTCTTCAATTCGTTGTTGTGCATCGCCAACAATCAAAAATGCACCACACACTTCGCACACTTCCATCTGTTTTTCATTCGATGCATATTCGTTCCACTGGGATTTGGTGCCATTTTCTGAATTTTGCTCAATTTCATGGTTCTTAATCAGCTCCTCTTTTTCCTCTTTCACCTGATCACACAGTGTCATTAGGTTTTGTGCCTGTTCGACATCACCTCGGCTGCCTGCCTCTTCGGCCTCACCAATCAGTTTATTGATTCGAGCGTTCATGTTGTTTATCATTTCTTGGAATTTGGTCAGCGGTGGCGGCGGTGGCGATGCCCCATCTGGCACTTTATTCATCAAGGCCAACCGCTGACGACCTTTTTCAATCTTACGATCCACTTCGTTTATCATGTGATTGCTAAATCGAAGAAATTCATCTTCGTAGCCACGTTTCCGTGTTGACGGTCGTGCCTCTTCAAATAACCGCTTCGCTTCATCGTCGTGTAACTTTGTACATTGACCCAAATCAGCTCGTGTGTTCACAAATAAATCGTGCGGACAAAATTTCACCAAATAGTACAGGCAAAACTAAAACAAATTCAATTGGATGGAAACAATTTCGTTTAAATTATGTAAAACTTTTTATTTAGCACAAAAATCATCACTTACCTCCGGGTCATCCCATTGTACTTTCTTTGATTTTGCCGTAGTTGGGTCTAGATTACGATTACGACCCATCAATTCGTCTAATAGTTGCCTTGCCGTATCCACCATGTTGACTATTGCGTTTTATATGGCTTTCGTCTAGTTAAAAAAAAATCCCCAACAATTTACTTTCCTTTTTTCCAAACAAAACTTTTGATTTCCGTTCTTTTTCACCATCAATTGACCTTTGAAAAGAAAAAAAAAAGTCAATCGGCAATCGTCTACGTTTGCCAGCTATATGAATTCCAATTCTAAGACCTTGTTTGTTCGATATTAAAATGAATTAATGCAATACGTATCGTAGTGAGAAAGAGAAAAAATGGCGTCATTACCAATCTGACATGTGCCAAACGTCAACGTACGGTTTTAACAGTGTATGACGGTTTGACATTTCCACATTCTCACGGTACGAAATTGGGTTTTTATCGTTTGAATGTGTGCACATTTCGATTATTATTATTCATATCATCGAGACAAAGATAAATTATTTCATGCCAAAATGGATAACATCCACTTATAAATGACGTATGTTTGTGTTTAGCTCATTTCTCAATCACATCATTCGTTTGTTGTATAGTATGAACCGGTTTACAGACGACCGTAAACAGTGGTCATCGCATCGACCGCTTAGTGAGTTGCATTTGCCACGGTTTTATTTACCATGTGATTGCCGGTGAGTGTTTAGTTTTATTGGAAAAAAATTCAAATATAGAAAAAAGTACAACAGACGCTGGGTTTATTGTTCGCAAAATTGGATTTCATGACGGATTTGGATAATTGACAGATAATTGTCGTGCTTTAAATAACTCAATAGCAGAATATTTTGCAATAATTCAACTGTTGGATGTATTCATTTTAGTTGAGTTTATATATAAACCCTGCATCATACGCAATTTATATTTGAATTCCAATTTAATTTTTTTTATTTAAATTTGCTGTTTCTCGCAATTTGATGACAAAATGACAGTGATAAATTGTATCACGTCGTGTGTATCGTGCAGAAACAATAAATTTTGTGCGAAGTTATGAGTTTGTCATGAGAATTGCTTCATTTTGTTCAAATCAGTTGAATATATAGAGCACTCTTTCAGCACACAATATCGGTGTTCAATCATAACCATATTTTAGGCTTTTAGGCTTTATGATTGAACACCGATATTGTGTGCTGAAAGAGTGCTCTATATATTCAACTGATTTGAACAAAATGAAGCAATTCTCATGACAAACTCATAACTTCGCACAAAATTTATTGTTGCTGCACGATACACACGATGTGATACAATTTATCACTAATACATTCTTGAATTGCGCATTATTTTTGGAACATTCTCAAAGAATTGGCACATTGTTCCAAAGAAATACTAAGGTCGATAAATTTTTCAAATTATTCTTCTTTTAATTCGACTGTAGCTTTTCCAAAAGAAAAAAAATAATTTTCAAAGTAAGACGAGACTTTTATCGTGAAAGGGTTTTTTTCTTTCAAAAGTGCATTAAGGCCTAATTGAAATTGTTTATTTATTACTATGTATTTTATTCGTCGAAAAGTTCTACGTAAAATACGCGTGCTATAACCATAGATGACCAATACATGCCAAAAAAAAGTCAATTCCGAATTATTTCCACTTCATGCTCTCTTAATCAGCACCAATCAATTCCACATTCCTCTTAGCCATACAACATTTCAAGACCGGACGTGGTTCTGTACAAATACATTGATGTATTGTTTACTATTCTTAGCAATATTCGTGTTCAATTGATTGGATTGAGTGATTCAATTGGTTGAGCGGTTTTGATGCATCATTAAATGGTTTAATGTGTATGATTTGAGTAGAAAAAACGTCATAGACTTAGTATTATTTATGAGTATAATATCTTTTTCGTTAAATCACAGTTCCAGATGTAAACAAACATTGATAACGGAGTATCACAGGTTATCTGCGCTAGACCGATAAAATAGACACTTCAAGTATACACATTTGTATTGAAACTTCATTCATCGCTTGAGTTTTTTGTGCGACGGTTCGGTTCCTATCAGAGAATACACATCTGTACAACAATGAAGGATTTACATGTGGGAATAATTACCGGTAAAATGGCGTTTCTTATATTAAAAAAAAACAAATTGTGGTTAAATTCATTTTAGAACGAAAGAAAAAATCGATTGAATAAAAAAATAATTAAAAGTTGTTCAAAATAACCATGAAAAATGTCAAAAATCACAAAAAAAATCAATGGAAAAATTGAAAATTAAACAAAAACAATACTTATCATATCGATTCCTGTTTCATTCATTTTCAGTGAGTGATCGATGCTCATCGGGAGAAACTGAGGATAAAAGTGGTCAAGTACTTCGAGAATTGGTGTCTAAACATTTTGGAGCTGTTATAACAAGTGCCTTAGTACCAGATGAAATTGATCGAATCGAGGTGAATCATTTGAAGGCATATTTTTTGCAATTTTCTTAGTAGGAATTGTTGGACAAATTCAGGTTATATTTTAATTTTGGTCCATGGATGGTCCATAAATTGATCAAAAGCCAATATTTCCATAAATTTATTTTATTCCATTTTTTTTTCTTCAAAATTTAAAACAAATTCCATCAATTCTAGGCTCAATTGCTGCATATGTCGGATCAGCTGTCAGTTCACTTGATTCTAACGACAGGCGGAACGGGGTTTAGTCCACGCGATGTAACACCTGAAGCCACTCGAAAAGTCATCCACCGTGAAGCACCTCAGATGTCACTAGCGATGTCATTGGTGAGCTTCGAAAAGACAAAATTTGCAGCCTTATCTCGAGCCGTATGTGGAATCCGCAATAAAACGTTGATTTGTAATATGCCCGGTAGCCCGAAGGCAGTCGACGAATGTTTTTCGGCAATTGTAGATGTTTTGCCGCATGCAATCGATTTGATCAATGGCCACCAGGGCAATGTACGAAAATCACATGGAGAATCTCAATCAACCTCAAACCAAAGTGTCCCAATCGCCACACACAAACACATTTGTCCGCACAAAACGGGCACGGGTACAGATGATGACCGTAATTCACCGTTTCCAATGATTGCGGTTGACATTGCCTTGAAAATCATTCTCGATGCCATTCGTCGCAACGTGTTTTCACATCGTGATTACAAAAGTCCGGTCAATATTCCAGAGTTTCGAGCATCGATCAAAGACGGGTATGCTGTTAAAGCAAACGGTTCATGCAAAGGGGTCAAAAAAGTTATCGGCTACATTAGCGCTGGCGATGATGTGAAGCATGATGATTTTGATAGCAATTTTTGTTATAAAATTAACACTGGTGCCGCTGTGCCCGATTTCGCCGATGCAATTGTTCAAGTTGAAGACACAAAATTGAGAAAGGCCGAGAATGGGATTGAAGAAGAAGTGGAAATTTTGATTGAACCAACGCTGGGGTTGGATATTCGGTAGGGAGAGAATTTGGAGGAAATTTTGAATTTTTTCTTTTCAAACAATCGACTCATTCAAATATTTTTTTTGTTCCAGGCCAGTCGGATGTGATCTAGCAAAAGGAGAACAGTTATTCAAAGGTCTAACCGATTTTCCTGATGTCGTTCCATTTAAATCATTACTCGCCAGCATTGGCGTGGATGTTGATTCGACACACCTTACAGAAGTGCCCATTTGTATTCTATCGACTGGTGATGAACTCACTAAACCTGGTGAACCATTGAAAACTGGGAAGATTTATGATTCAAACACAACAATGCTGCGAGCATTGCTTGAGCTACATGGTTTCAACAAAATCACCACATTGACATTGAGCGATACGTAAGATTGTGTACTTTTTTATAAATTTATTTTATCAACACCAGAGAGAGAAAGAGAGGAAGAGAATATAAGTAAAGAAAGATAAAATAAATTATGTTTGTATTCCCATAGGTTTGATTCAATGCACGATGCAATCAAAGCCCAGGCCGAGAAGAATACATTCATCATTTGCTCTGGAAGTGTGTCGATGGGAGATAAAGACTTTTTGAAGCCAGTTTTGAAGAAGTTGGGCTTTGAAATTCATTTTGGTCGTGTCAATATGAAACCAGGGTGGGTATTGACTTGATTGTCAACGATACGTTTTTTTTTTTCATAAACCGAGTAATGTACGGCTATTAAACACTATTTATTTTCTTATTGATTTATTTCGAATTGGTTTATCCAGTAACCGACATCCCTTGTTTGTAATTTACAACAACAATTTGTCATTTTGTTTTGTGATCCTGTAATTGATCATTTTTCTTACTTCAGAAAACCAATGACGTTTGCTGATCGAAAAACATCAAATAAAGAGTGCTTTCTATTTGGACTACCAGGAAATCCTGTAAGTGTTGCTATCACCAGGACTAGAAAAAGTGAGACAACAAGAAGAAAATTGTCATTATAAAAATGTGTATTACACTATTACAGGTATCAGCATTTGCAACGTTTCATTTGTTTGTTCTGCCAGCGCTTCGGAAACACTGTGGTTACAGTGAACACAAATTATCATTGCCAGTCATTCACGTTGAAGTAAGAGTGTTGAACATATTATTTTGTTTTATTTTTGAATTTAGTTCGAAATTGAATTGGAAACGGATGTATTTTTAGATTGAATAACATTTTGATTGAAAATTGAACAAACAAATTATTTAAAAATTAGTTACGTATTTGATAAATAATTATTTATCAAAAATTATAATTTATGATTTTATAAATATAACTGTCAAACAATAATTTTTTTTTTATTTAATGCTTACATTGAATAGAAAAATTAATACTATAATTTCCTTATCTTGTTTTTCATAGCTTTTGAACACACAAGTCGAATTAGATCCACGTCCAGAATATGCTCGAGCTCAAATTTCATGTGGTCAGGGCAAATTCTTCGCAGAAATCACCGACAATCAAGTAGATATCAATATTTCTTATAATTATTTATCTCATGAGAAAAAGTATAAAAGGTCAACATCTACATTGATATAATGTTATTGTGGTCGATATCAATTCTGAGCTGAAATTGCGCTGAATAGGTGCCTTGAATCCGAATAATGTATTGTGCAAATTGGGCACTAATTTGGTCTAAGATGTAACACACATACGTGCGTGGATTCCATCAGCATATCATGGAGTATTGTTTCATTGTAATATTCCATGTCACCTCAAGGCGCAAAATATTTTCCTAAGCTCAGGCCATGGACAAACATATGAAATATGCCATTTACTTCAGACCAAGACTATGCGTGAATGTGTATATAGATTAGACGCAATATATCATAATTTGTATATAGATTAGACGCAAATTTGATTCATACCAGGTGTCAACTATATAAAAATAGCTTCAACATAGCTTCAACATAGCTGCAGACCTTGTCTATTTTTTCTCATGGAATTTTATTTGAAGTTATTTTCGACTCATGAATCAAATATTTTTGAATTATCGGTTTATGCATTTTTCTTCGAAACTTAAATGACAATATCATTTGATATATTAGTCGATTTAACGTCATAGACCACAATATTTCAAACAAATGTTTACCAAAATTTTGAATTCATCATTTCAGATGAGTAGCCGGCTAACGAGTATCGTGAACGCTGACGTTCTATTGCATTTGCCGCCACGAACAAAGACACAGGAATATGTTCTCAAAGGCGCCCAACTAAAAGCATCTGTTCTCAAGCATCATTTCATTTCAAAATATTTGGATTAAATCTAAAAAAAAAACATAATAAAAAGGAAATAATTTTTGGCAGCAAAAAAAAGAGCAATGAAATTCATTTTAATTTTAAGAATTCATTTCCATTGGAAAAAACACTATCCTAAAAATAATAACAATCAAAAATAGGTTGAACAAACCCCACTTTTCATTTTCGCGCCGACTAAAAATTACCGCAACGCACAACGACAACACCAAAAAACATAGGTGGCAGTTGTGATAAACCCATTGAATGACAGCTGATGGAATATTGTTTGTGCACACGAATGTTCGATGTAAACGTCAACGCAGTTAAGCTCGGCAAACAAAGTTGTAGAATAAACAACGCCTCCGAAGAGGAATAATTCTTTTGATTTGGTTTTATACATAAAAAAAAATTTGGTGGTTGATTGGTTTCAAAAATGGAATACGGTGGTTACAGTAGTTCTTCCAAGGAAACGGTTCGTGCTGCTTGCAAAAAGTGCGGTTATGCAGGTCACCTAACTTTTCAATGCCGCAACTTTCTGAAGGTATGTACGCGTCAAAAAGTCACTTTGAGCCAAAGAAACGTGAAAAATCAAAGTAGCAATAGAACGACAATTGATTGAATTGCGTTGAATGTCCGTTTCAGATTGATCCGAATAAGGAAATTCAGTTGGATGTAAGTAGTACGAGTAGTGATTCCGACACCGATTATTATTTGACGCCACTTACCGGCTTACGTAAAGAGGAGCTACTACAGAAAGAACGTGAGCTTAAGTCGCGAGCGAAACGCTCTAAAGACAAGAAACACGAGGAAAAGCGCTCGAAACGAAAGCACAAGAAAAGGTAAGACATAATCCAGTACTTTTTCTCAGGCAAACTATTTGCTTTGCAGTGAAATTGCGCAGTTAAAAACTAAACATGTTTTTTTTCAGTTCATCAAGCTCCTCGGACAGTGACAGTTCATCTTCATCATCGTCGTCATCCAGTAGCAGTAGCAGCAGCAGTAGCAGCAGTAGTAGTTCATCATCAACTGATAGCACATCCAGTGACTCGGACGATACGAAACACAAAAAGTTGAAACGCATTAAAAACGGTGATAAAGCCAAAGCCAAAAAACATGCGGCCAAAAAACGACGCACCAAACGCAAATCGTCTTCATCAAGCTCGGATTAGTTAGAAATAATTACCACATTATCTTATGAATTACATTACCATTTAGGTGTCACGATTTTTCCATACACACACACACACACACACACACACACACACACGTCGTTGTGGTAGAACAGTACTTCTCCATAAAATCAATTCACATTTCAATTTAAATCCCCTTGCTTTCAGATAATTGAATGTTTATTATCTGTTAAAATTAGTTTTGTAATGTTAATGTTTAGTATCAAGCATTTCAAAGAAATTGTAATTCCGACTAGTGACCGAACTTTATTGTTCAAAGGCTTGGAATAACAACCGATATTGCTTGCCGCATATTTAGAAATGCATACGAAATGGTCACTTTTAAGAACCACTTTATATCATGTTAGGGTAAAAATCGTTAAACTAAGTCTAGAATCGATAGTCTCATGGCAACATACCAGAATATCTGGCCTAGAGACACTAAATGCAACAGGCCAGAGTCTCTAGCCCAGAGAGAATAAAAGTTACGGCATCACATCATCAGCTATTGACATTGTATCACAACTGATTCAGCAAATTCATCTTAGTTTTCTGAACATCTTTTTAGGTTTAGCCTTCTTTCTTTTGCCCAAATTTGTACATGAAAATAAAAATGTTAGAAAGGGATCGTTCCATTTTTTTTAATTCGATTTTTCTCGATGAATAGCCTCCTTTCCCATAAGTGGAATCATTCAAACATTAAACATTGGACTATTTAGCAGTAAAATTTAATGTACTGTCAATTTGATTCAACGTACAGTACGTTGAGTACGTTACGCACTACAGACACTTCAAAAATGTCTCAAACTATAACTATATTAAACAATGTACCAATGTATGTATTTCAATGAAGCTCGGTACGTCTCTTGAGTGACGATCTATTTTGAGTAAATAACAAACGCGAAACATCTGTTTTATTTTGAGTGTTGACAAACAACTGTGTTTTTCTACGTTTATTTTGCGATTGTGTATTCACGTGAGCTTAAGTCACAATCGAAACGGTACAAGGACAAGAAACACGATTTTGGGGTAAATTGACTATGCTTTTGTTCAACTATTGACGTTGATATTTTTTTTTATTTGGAGAACTTCTTCTTTTGGTATAGAGGACGTTTTAGATGAAAGAATAAAAAATCAAGGCGACCAAACGTGGTCATTCTTTTCAAGAGTGCAACAAAAATTCAACAAAGCATCAAATTAATTGATGCCATCAACTATCGAATTAAACAATGGTGTTAACCATCACATTATTACTAAAAAGACAAATGATCAATGAAACTAAAATTTGAATTTAAAAACGTGAACATAAGCATCGTAATTTGATTTGAAATGGTATAAGTGTTGCCAATTGAATCTAGACACAGACGTTTGGTGGCGACATCTACATTTTTTTAGAAACTAGCAAAATGTCAACGAGCAATCGGTGCATGCTCAATGCAAATCAATCACAAATCAAACGATAAAATATTGAAACTCAACGAATTTAAAGCACGCAATATTTCATTTTCTTCAGTTTGGTGTTAAAAACTCACATATACAACGTCACTTGTGTGTAAACTCTTTACGTTTATACCGCAGCTGTATTGAAAATAAAATTTGTTCAAAAATGGATGGAAAAAACCAAAAAACTGAGCAACCAAGTGATTTGCACCAAGTGGAAGAGGAAGAACAACAGAGACAGTCACAAAAGCAAAGAGTTCAACGGAATGTAAATTCGTTGGTTCATGCTTGCGATTGTAGAGATCAACAGTGTACCGAAGACTTATGTGCAAAAATGAAACGACTCCTGCATCACACAACGATTTGCACACGGAAATCCGACGGCAATTGTCCAATTTGCAAAACAGTCTACGGTATGTTCTGCTACCACGCAAACCAATGTATCGAAGTCAAGTGTGCGGTTCCGTACTGTCTAAATATCAAGCACAAACTCAATCAATCCAAATTGGCAAGAAGGTAATGTAAAGTTTTTTTTTTTTGGTATAAACTTTATTTCTTTTTTATTCATATGACACCCATAGAATGAAAGAACAACTTATGGGCTCTTTATCCATAACTGAGACGGAAAAAAACTTAGAGCAAAAAAGAGACAAATAAAGTTGCGAGCAAAAGTGACACAACTCAGCATTGAGCGGAAAAGACGTTGTTTTTTGCATTTTTCTCGCTATTGGAAATAGATAACGATTAAGTGTCTTCGGTATTATTGTGAAAAATAAAAAGAACTACAAATAAGTCAAAGATACCTAGTCGCTATATCTTTCCAGTAGCGAGCAAAATGCAGAAAACGTCTTTTTCGCTCAATACTGAGTTGTGTCACTTTTGATCGCAACTTTATTTGTCTCTGTTTTGCTCTAAGTTTTTTTTCCGTCTCAGTTATGGATAATGAGCTCATTTAAAGTTGTTCTTTCATTCTATGGGTGTCATATGTTTTTTACGATCCATGATATTCATTTTTTTTGATTGCATATCTGTTTTTGTTTTTTTTCAAAATACTTTTTTTTTGTCCGTTCTCCCCAGTACAAGCAGTTGTCAACCAGCCGATTCTACCACAAAAAAAATGACTGTGGATACATCGCGTAATATTCAAGTGTGTCATTATGGTAGGAGTAACGCTCAAGGAAACTCTGGTGTAAATATTGGAGCAAGAACGCAGGAAATAGCATCGACTGAGCCAAATAGCGACAATGAAGGTCTCCAGAAAGCAAAACAGCAGCTTGTAACGACGCTGCAGAATAGCAACTTGACCGGTTCCGACAAATTTCAGCAAATTCTGAACATTTTAAAATCCAACCCTCACCTCATGACAGCATTTAGAAGGCAACGACAAAAGTATCTGGAAAGGTATTTACAGTGTGAATTATATCCGGAAATTATTAAAATGTTGGAAGGATGTTCAAAGAAGACTGTGGCTGAGTCCAAAATTTCTATTGTTGAGTCACGGTCTTCTCTTGAATGACTCACTAAACTGTATTATAATAATTCATTCGTTTCGATAATCTATCAAATCAAAATTTATTTCTTCACCATTATTATACCTCCCCAGTGCAAGCAGCCAATTCTCTATGAATTCTCCTATGGAAGCCCCTTCTTCTGTTTCATCGACAAATACACAGACATGGCGCCAGTTTATCCCAACCGAATACCGTGAATACATGGTACGCATTTACAGCCAAACCATGCATGCCTATGGCATTGCAAAATGCGGAAAAATGATCGAGGATGAAATTTATGCAAAAGCCGAATCGAAACAGCAATATTGTGAGCTAATGTTCGACAAAATCTACACCGACCAAATGGAAATGGAGGAAAAGAATAAAATACGAAAGTTTGAACCAGCACAACCAACGCAACAAGTACGTGTGGTTCAAAAACCATCCACATCAGCGGTTAGAAAATGTGTCGTACTCAAGAGGAAATTTAAGCAAATTACACGGAAGTATCAGCCAAACATGAGACTGATCCGCATTACACCCCGTCGCATTGTGGCTAATCGAAAAAACTGCCAGCGTTTGGATCGTCCAGCGCATTCACCTATGAATCAAGCACTCGATGAATGAAAATTTTGAAGACCATGCATTGAATACCATTGACATTTTGAACGAGTATTAATTATGATTTAATTGTGTTTTGGAGTATTAGTTAATTAGAGACCATTTTTTTCATATTTTTAACAAAAAACAAACAAACGTAATTGGCCATCGAGAATCTCAAATGTCATCGTTTCTGTTATTTGCACATTTTTATTCATTCATTTTTCTATTTTTTGGATATTAACATGTATTTACTATATTTTTGGCAGTCTATGAAAATAAATATTCACAATTCGAACTAAAAAATACAAGGAGCAAATGTATTGTGATGTTTCATTTTTTGTGATATAGTTTCAATTGGATTTTTTAGGAGTAGAATATTCTGAAATGAATGACTACAACAATAGTGAAGAATAGAAGTAAAACACATATGAGTTTTCACATGTAGATGCATTACATGTTTCGTGTGCGCTGAGACATACACTTATATGACAGTATTGTTGGTTGTATTTGAACAGTTGAAATGTTGTCTTCGTGATAGTGTAACACTGTGACCCACAGTGTATGACATACATTATGTGTGATAGTAGCACACATAGTGCTACACATACATATATGCGAGCATATATGTGTAAATGTGCATTTCAATGTTGTGGTTGATGCACATAAACGAAGGAAACCTCTTAGTATGTATGTGTAAGCTGTTTACTATGGCTTGAAAGAAAGAGCAAGAAGAGCAATGTTCCATCTCTCGTCATGTATTTGAACATCACCCCATAGAAGATTATAAAAATTGACAACTAACACACTCATACGAGAGTAACGTGAGGTCTCTCTCTCTCTATCTCTCCCTCTCTCTCTCTCTCCATCCATCTGCTCACTTTAGTCGGTTTGTTTACAAACAATAATATCTGTGTATGTGTGAAATACAGAGCATATTTGGTGAATTAGCATTCTTTGCATGTCTTTATTTGTTTATTATCAAGGAAACACAGTGATCAGAGTTCGCTAATGAATATGAAAACTCGCTTGAATATTTCTATGCGATATTTGTGAATTATTCATCAAGAGATACACAGAAGTCGACTATATGCACTCCTGTTGAGTGAGCGCATCGCTGTATGTGGTGTACAGTGTGCATGTGTTAGTGTAACCGCGTTGATCGTTTTGCACACAAAAGCATACGTACATACATAGCAACTCAGTAATAATGTATAAAGTCAAATTCTCCGTCATTCTTTTGTGATTTCTCTATTGGTGAAGACAAGTTCCAGTCGTAGTAATTTCAATGCTAAACAATTTTTATATTTGGTTTTTTCTGATCAATCATATAAACCGCCTCGAATTTATTACCAATTTGTATGCGATTTACTGGTGAATTAGTCAAATTGCTGTGAATTGTGTAATTCTTTGTAGAATATTCTTGAGTTGAAATTGTATTTGGACGATTTTTGAGTCGATTGAGCCCACAATATCGACGCAACATGTAAGTGAAGCAATAGTTTAAAAGTGCAGTCATACTACGTTACATTTTGTATAAAATTTTGAAGTTTTTGTTAATTATAACTCTCGTTTAAGGCACATCAGACTCAAAAACATTCAACAAATTCTAGAATATGCACCAGCTGGTGCTGAATCTAATAATTTCATATGCTATCCCAATCGAAATTGTTTAGGACGATAGAATATGCTCCTTTCGATTTCCACGAAAAGGTCTAAAAACGGATGTTCTTCGTTATTTCTTTACTCAGTCTATTTTTGAGCCAATCCAGAGAAATGGAAGCTAATTTAGCCGAATTTTATTCAGAACACTAGGAGATAACAAGACGCACGTATGAGGTTTTCGGACCTCCATCCAAAGAGATGCTGTATTTTTTTTATTATTATTTTCCATCTTTCGTCGTCGTCGAAATCGAAATCATCAACAACTTAATGACGTGCTTCTTGTTAACTCCCTGTGATTCGAAAAACAAATATTTGTAGAACTACAAACAATAGATTAACAAATTAAATTGTAACACTTCATTTTTCCATTTGAATCTCTATTACCAGCGGAATCCTCACTTTTGGTTAATTCACATTCAAATAAACTACAACAGCAAATTTAACTGAGCAGTCAAAACAGGATGGATGAGAAATTATCGGAAATTGTCAATACGTTGAAATTGTTTGTTCAATCCCAAAAAAATCAACAGCAACAACAACAAGCGGCTCAATTAGAATTATTAAAAACGCATATTCAAATTCTGGAAGGGCTGCTCAACAGCAATAATAATGCATTGGATTCATCGTCAAACTCTTCAAGGTCGCCAAGAAATTCACAAGCACAAGTGACCACGAAAGAATGGCACAATTCTACTACACCTGAACTCCGTAATCATTTGGTTAATAAGTTGGTGGAAGCAATATTCCCGAACCCTGATCCGGCGGCAATGGTTGATAAACGAATGCAAAATTTTGTTGCATATGCGAAGAATCTCGAAGGTGACATGTATGAATTGGCAAATTCGAGAACTGAATACTATTATTTGTTGGCCGGAAAAATTTATGCGATTCAAGTGGAATTGATAAAGAGGCGGCAAAAACGAGATAAACCGCTGGCACAAATGCAGCAAGCTGCTCAAAGTGTTCAAGAGGATCAAGTCGCCTCAACTTCTGCAGCAGCACTAGCATGTAACTGTTCACCACAACAATCCGACGCAATGCAAACTGAAACTCAATCAAATCAACAGCAACAACAAGAAAAACCAATTCAATCGACTCCAGTTGAAATGACACCAGTGCAAAGTGTGGATACTCATACACCAGTTGACACTCCAGGGTTGCCAACGAGCTCAAATCAAGAGTCACAAGTGGTAAACGAAAGCATTGGCATAACAGACCAGTCGAATGAAATCTCACAAGAAGATAATTGGGTTGTTGTGAAGGCTGAACCGTCTGATAATTCCATAACGACGGATCAAATTATTGCTCATCGGAAGAGTTGCAAGGACTTCAACTGTCCAGCATGTTTACCGTTGAATTTGGCCATCAGGGAATTGAAGAAATCAAAAGAAAATATCGATTCTATTTTGGGATTGTTGGAAATGGAACGCAATGTTTGAAAGCCATATTGCGATTACTTGATATTGAATCAACTTCAGTGAAACGAAGATAACAGTTTTTCTATTTAAAAACTGATTCAAAAAAAAATTCGCTTCGTTTTATCTATAGTTAAATTCATAACTACATATGTAAGGACATTTCGGTATAAAAACAACTGGAAACAGTAGATTCGAGTAATTTTGACTGGAAATACCTCAGCCGCACATACACATCTTACTTATAAGTAATTTGCTACCTCAATCCGATTACCATCCATTTACGTACTAGTATCATTTACCAGTTTGTTTTCAATATCGATGTGATTTAAATTATTCAATGTATCCAAATGTTTAGTTTTAATTTCAATGAGTTTTTATTTTTTTTTATGAATACGATCTTTATGATGAGTTGATTTCAGCTTTGTTCTACCTTTCCCAATACTAGCATCGATCAACGTCGAATTATCTACTTTTTGTGTATTCTTGAAAATTGATCACAATAAATCGAATTTTTTTTTAACCAATTTCATTTTGTTCGTTATTACAAAAGATAGTCAAATTGTAACACAAGTTTTGAGAATATAGTTTCTGGGACCGTCTTCAAATGGCAACCACAGCATGGAATTTCGTTGCTTCACTTCTTCCGCATCGAAACGGTTTGGATTGAACTTTCTGGGTCTGGATAGTATTGAGAATCACGCTGAATAGCAAAAATCGGAATCATCACCATTAGTCCCTTTCGAATCACATGATTTGATCCGGGCACTTGATAATCATTCATCGTTTTTCGGTTTAAATTCGATAGCGGCGGGTACATTCGGAGAGTTTCTGCTTGGTAAATTGGCATGAATATAGAGGAATCAATTAACACAGAGTACATGTATACTAATCATGTCATTGTCACTCACCCTGAAGTATGTGATCGATGTACGGCATGCCCAACATCATTTCGTATGTAAACATTCCATGTTTCTCAAACGCATCTTGAATTACTTGCCTGGCTTTCTCCTGTATTTCCGGGTTCAGTGCCAGCTCGTACAAACAATATGATAAAGTGGTCGACAACGTTTCGAATCCAGCGTCTTTGATTTCCAGTTCATCATTTTGCTGGACGACATCAATTAAACAGTCTTTGAATCGTTCACCAACTTCGATCACCGTCGGAAACATGAATTTCATTTTACTCAAAGAAAATGTTGGTGTAAGTTTGGAACACAGCTTTTTCCACTTTTCTCCGTCCACTAAAAATAGGTTCGCGCTCAACGGATCATCTTCTTCGTTGTAGTAGAAGCCTCTGTCAACAAAATTATTTTCAATTATTCCGCATTTAATATTCGAATTTTAGAAATTTTAATGTCTAATTCGTGGAATACGAAGCAATAAATAACAACTGTACCCATCTCACGAACATATATCAATGATATCAATACTCACCGAGGTAGGGTACACGATTGCATTCATTTGTTACAATAAAATACGTGTTCAGCGAAGATGTTCGCCACGTCAACATTTATGACTTTGCAGCAGAGAGAGTAAAGGAAATATTTTCAGCCATTCGCAGAACATCAGTGTAAATATATGGAACATTGGTCATTTTCAACAATGGATTTTTGAAAATTCCTACACTTTTAATTAATACCACCATAATTTTCGTCCGTTATTGATCGATATCAGGAAAGCAAAAATCACAGGTTTTTTTATTGTTACTAATGCAGTTGTGTTCTATCATTTATGATACCATGCGCAAGTCATTCTATAAGAAATAGCAAAAAATTTAAACAATTAAAAGCTTGGTATTGATTCAATTAATTAATAAAATCGTTTGATGATTGCAATCGTGCACCCTATAGCAAAAATATCGCTAATATATTCGTGAAGTTGGTGCTGTTGTAGTTCAGCACAATTCGTGTTTCACGACTAAAGCTTTAAACATGAAACGAATTTATTGCTAACACACTTTAAAATACCACCTCTGAGCAAAGGAAACATCAAACAGAAACATGACTCTAATCAGTGCAGTTGTTATTTGCTTCGTATCAATTCTGACCCTTGTGTACGCATATTTCAAGCATGCATTCGGATATTGGCGATCGTGAGGAATTCCACACGATGAGCCTGAATTTCCAGTCGGAAATATAAAAGGTCTTGCCAAAACGTGTCATCAATCGCAATTTTTTAAAGATATTTATGATAGGCATAAATCGAGTGGTGCAAAATTCTGTGGCTTTTATTTTTTCGCCGGCCCCGGTGTCGTCCTAATGGATCTCGATTTGATAAAAAGCGTTTTAGTGAAAGATTTTGCTAATTTTGTCGACAGAGGCATCTTCTACTACAACGAAGAAGATGATCCAATAAGTGCGCATCTGATCGCACTGGATGGAGAAAAGTGGAAGAAATTGCGTGCCAATTTGACACCGACATTTTCTTCGAGCAAAATGAAATTTATGTTTCCGACGATGGTCGAAGTTGGTGAACGGCTCAAAGACTACTTAATCGATGTTGTTAAGAAGAATGACGAACTGGAAATCAAAGACTTGATGGCGCGACTTACCATCGACGTCATTGGTACATGTTTATTTGGCATCGAATGCAACAGTTTGAGCGATCCAAATGCCGAATTCAGGAAATATGGGAAAGCAGTATTTGAAAAACCCAGACATCATCCGTTGATTGCCGTCTTTTTGGCTGGTTACAGAAATATCGCCAGAAAATTACATATCAAAAATTTGCGAGATGATGTGTCAGAATTTTTCATGGAAGTGGTTCGTGACACAGTCGAATATCGAGAGGAAAACAATGTGAATCGAAATGATTTTATGGACATTCTGATCAAACTGAAGAACGAAGAGACAAACGACAAAGATAAGATACTAACACTGAATGTGATTGCTGCTCAAGTCTTTGGTTTCTTCGTTGCTGGATTCGATACGTCGTCGACCACTTTATCATATTGTTTGTACGAGCTGGCACTGAACCCGGAAATACAGGCAAAAGCCAGGCGAGTGATTCAAGAGGCATTTGAGAAACATGGAACATTTACATACGAAATGATGTTGGACATGCCGTACATCGAACACGTACTTCAGGGTGAGTGACACATTCTGCATGGTGTCTTCGTCAATTTATTTTTTTATATTAATTCATACTGAAAAAATTATCCATCTGAATTTTTTATTTCTGGAATACCGAACAGAAACACTCCGTAAATACCCGACGGCATCGAACTTGATTCGAAAAACGATGAATGATTATCAAGTGCCTGGAACAAATGATGTGATCCAAAAGGGACTATCGGTGATCATTCCAGTTTTTGCTATTCATCGTGATTCTCAATACTATCCAGACCCAGAACAGTTCAACCCCGATCGTTTCGATGGGGAAGAGGCAAAGCAACGAAATTCTTTGTTGTGGCTACCATTTGGTGAGGGTCCTAGGAGCTGCATCGCTGCACGTTTCGGTATGATGCAAGCACGCATTGGACTTGTGACCATCCTGAACAGTTTTGAAGTTTCACTTTGCTCAAAGACAGTACTCACTTATGAACCAAAAACGTTATTTTTAACTCCCAAAGGTGGCTTATACTTAAAATTCAAAGCAATAAAGTAATAATCGTTTGCAATAAATCAGATTTGTACATGGGCCAATCCCGACAACACAGCAATGTTGTTGAAATCGAATGCCCTTCTTGAAAACGCAGGAAATAAAATTTAATAACAAATACTATTTGTATCTACCAATTTTCACACATATTTCAATAAAGCACAACAATTGAGAGAATATCGATTTAGTTGTTGTTCTTTCGTACATATTTGTCAAAAGACGCAAATTGAATCATTGTGAGAACTAAATATACACACTTCGACGTTTTATCAATTTTTCAAACATATCATTTAGGAGCGAATTGAAATTGCTTTTTTGCATTTTTTTGACTAATTTCTTGGGATTTTGTTTGCTCAGAAGTGAATGTGGTTGAGGAATTATTTCGCATTTAATGTTCAAATTTTAGAAATTTAAACGTCCAATTCGTAGAACACAAACTAATAAATAACAACTCCATCCAAACTCACGAATATATATAAACGGTATTAGTACTCACCGCGGTAGGGTACACGATTGCATTCATTTGTTACAATAAAATACGTGTTCAACGAAGATGTTCGCCACGTCAACACCTACAATTTTACTTAAGAGAGAGTAAAAGTACTATTTTCAGCCATTTGTCGAACATTAGCTTAAGTATATATGAAACAAGGGCGTAAATAGCGTAAACATATGGAACAACGGTAATTTCCAACGGTATGTTTTCAAAAATTCCTATGGTTTTTTCTTCTGAAAATGGTCAACAGCACCGATATTGATCGATATCAGAAAAGCAGAAATCACACCTTTTTTTATCGTAACTAATAAATGTAATCGTATTCCATCATTTATGATACTACGCGTAAGTCATTCTCAAAAAAATAGCAGAAAAAAATAAAATGAACAATTAAAAGCTTGGTATTGATTCAATTAACAATGTTCGGTGAAGTGTCTAACATTGTTCACGATTATAATAAAATCGTTTGGTGATTGCAATCGTGCACAGCAAGAATATCGTTCGTGAGGTTGGTTCTGTTTTGATAGTTGAGCACAATTCGTGCTCATTAAACATGTCAAAGACTTTATAGCATGTTGAATTCAGGAAATACGGTGGTGAAGTATTTGCAAAACCTAGACATAATCCGTTGATTGAAATGATTTTAGTCCATTTCTTTAGGGATATCGCCAAAAAATGCCACATTAAAAATATCCGCGATGATGTTTCGGAGTTTTTCATGAAAGTGGTTCGCGACACAGTCGATTATCGAGAGAAAAACAATGTGAATCGAAATAATTTTATGGACATTCTGATCAAACTGAAGAACGAAGAGACAAACAACAAAGATAAGATACTAACTCTGAATGAAATCGCAGCGCAAGCATTTTTTTTCTTCCTCGCTGGATTCGATTCGTCGTCGTCAACTTTATCATATTGTTTGTACGAGTTAGCATTGAACCCGGAAATACAGGCAAAAGCCAGGCGAGTGATTCAAGAGGCATTTGAGAAACATGGAACATTTACATACGAAATGATGTTGGACATGCCGTACATCGATCACATACTTCAGGGTGAGTGACAATGACATGATTAGTATACATGTAGTCTGTGTTAATTGATTCCTCTATATTCATGCCAACTTACCAAGCAGAAACTCTCCGAATGTACCCGACGCTATCGAATTTAACCCGAAGAACGATGAATGATTATCAAGTGCCTGGAACAAATGATGTGATTCAAAAGGGACTAATGGTGGTGATTCCGATTTTTGCTATTCAGCGTGATTCTCGATACTATGCAGACCCAGAGAAGTTCAGCCCCGATCGTTTCGATGGGGAAGAGGCGAAGCAGAGAAATTCTATGTTGTGGCTACCATTTGGTGAGGGTCCTAGGAGCTGCATCGCTGCACGTTTTGGCATGATGCAAGCACGCATTGGACTTGTGACCATCCTGAACAATTTCGAAGTTTCAATTGGCGAAAGAACAGAAATTACCTACGAACCAAATCCATTGGCACTAACACCAAAAGGTGGCATATATTTGAAATTTAAAGCGATAAAGTAACACCGAAATCACAATATGTGTGGAATGTGTCAAATAAAGCGCCATTTGTGTCATGATGCTTTTGTTTTTATTGGTTTTTATAAGTCCAAACGCATTCAATATGAACGTTCAAAAGTCGCTTAAACGTTCAGAACCATTAGCCCATATAGTATTGCATAGTTTATCTTCCATGGGCTTGGTGGCGCCAATATTACGATAAACGTCAAAATATAGGATTGTATACATTGCACATTGTGATTCCGGTTACATGACAAAAATGAACGTGCGATTATAATATATTGATAATTATCAAAGCAGATGACCAAATTCTGATTATTAGTTTGGAATAATTACCTTTAAAGCGTCACGACTTTTCCGCACACACTACAGTAGGTAAAATCTAAATAATACACAATCCAATTTAAATCCGCTCGCTTTAGACAATTGAATTTCTTTATTTTCTTTTAAAAATAATTTTTCTTGTTAACATTAAGTGTCGAGCATTTACATGTCCATCGTTTTGCAATCAATAATAATAGTTCATTCGTATGGATTCTTTAGGTCCCTTGTGTAACTCGTATTTGCACTTCATTCAAATGTCAACAAAATTGTTTTTTTTTCCTTTCTCTCTATCTTGGTTTACCATCAAAAATATACAACAACGAATTTTTGTTATAATTCACATAAAAACCTATCCCTAACATGTATTTTTCTTTAAAATAAAGTTTCAATTCTTTCTTTCTTTGGAATTTTCTCTTCTTTCTTTTGTTCTTTTTCATCCACGTTAGTAAAAAAAAATTTATTTTTCATAGCGACAAGATAAAATTGATTGTATATGCTAAAGGAATGAATGAGTTTATTTTGTCGTAAATTAATTTACAAAATGAATTTTCGACCACTTTTGCATTCATTCTTATCGAAACCACAATTCACACACAATGGCGCAACCTTGTTTAAAAATAGTTTGGCCCAACCTTTTTTTTTTCATTTGAAATATTACACATTTTGATTATAAATTTGTGTGGAACTAAACAAAACTGCCAAATTTCTCAATGACCTCAAGACACCTTTCGTATTTTGGTAGCGTCTCACCACTTAATTATATTTCCGCACACACCACTGTAGGACCTACAGTGTAGGTGTAAAGGTATTTAATTTGACATTTTTCAAGGAAACATTTCCATTTAAGTGAAATGTTGTTGATCTGACCTACAGTCATGCGAACGCATGTCAATTTTTGATTTTTGAATTTTCGTTCAAGATATATATATATATACCAAATGTTTATTTTTTAATTGAATTTTTATGTATTCGTTTATTTGTACTCTTTGAATTCGAACATATCCTGTGTGGAAATGGAATGGTGATGTCTTATTGGATTGGCGTTCGATTTATCGAAAAATTTTGAATGGAAAATTTCAATTAACGAAAAGAACGGGAATTTTTAGGATTTCTTGAGTGGTCGATCCAATGCCCTTAATGGACAGATGTTTAGAATTTCCCATTCTTTTTTTTTGTTTGATGTTTTAAGTAGTTATTAAATTTGGAGTTGGCTTCGGAAGTTCATTCGTTCGAAAAATTTTTGTTCGTTGTTCTTTGAAGTTTTTTTTTTCATACAAAATTTAATGTCGTCCGGCTCGAACAACGAACAATTTTTTTTAATCATGTCGAACAAGCGTTCGACTGCCAACAGTAGTTCGAAAATACGATCTTTATTGTTGATGTCGGTTCGTCCGCGAGGACTTTATGACGGCCACCCAATTTTTAGTCTCGATAAAAGTTTTTTTGATTTTACAAAAAAATCATTTTCATCACTTCACTCAAAGGAAATAAAATTTCTTTCGGTCAATTTGTGTTTTTCTTTTTTCAATCCATGTGAAAAAAAAATGCATTCAATTTCAGTAGTCTCCTGAAGCTTATTTTATTGCATAAAAAACAGAAAGCGAAATTCATATTTACATTTTTCTATATTTTCATCTAAAGCAAAATGATTTAAATTTATTGAAATTTTTTTCGATAACGATTTATTCGCTTTTGGCCATGCAAAAATGCAATTCCATTTATGACATGAGGAAAAAAGTATGATTAGAAATTTAGAATAAATATTTGCCAATGTTAATTGATTGAAGAGTTTTCGTTTATGAAAAAAAGAATAACTATTCCCAAGCTCGCGTTCATGGTGAGTCAAAAACGACATCGGCCCTGAAGGCGAGGATAGCATCAAACTGTCAAAATACACGGGCACTTTCGATGCTTGTGTACGTGTGTGACACAGTGTGCAACAATGTTCACTTTTAATAAGCTTCAAGCGGTACCGTCTAGAGAGTGTCTTGGAGTTTTACGTCATATCTATCTCATGTACTTAGATACGAACAAAGCGATTTTGATATTCCAATAGGTCCGAAATGTTTAGAGCGCCATTCCGACCCATGTTCAATCACACAGGATAGTTTTGCGAATGTCACACATTCTGTCGTTCTTCTCCAATATAGCAATATCCAAAAAATCTGTACCGTCATTTTGTTCGGTTTGATCTTATTGCTAAAAAACATTCATTTTTACCACATTGTCCATAACCTCTTTTTCCTTGGTTATTCATCATTTTTAGAAATTCGATAAACATTAATTTGTCTCATTTATTTGTTCAGTGAATAAATCGTTTGTTTTTTTTTCTATTTATTTCGCATTTAATTAAGTAGTAAAACATTACAAAATGTTGTTGTCAAGAAATAAAATTGATTCGTCGATAAAAATGATTTGTTTTCATTTTTTTATTTCTTGTATTTGTTTTTGTATGGTCAAACAAATTATTATTTATTCATCGCATTTAATTTGTATTTTGCAAGAAAAAATATATGATTGGATTTGCTAAAAAATATATATGGAGTTGCATAAAACTAGCCATCACACAGAGGTTCTGAAACGATACAAAAAATACACACATGTTTTTCTCTTTTTGTTCCCAGTGTCTAGAGTTGTATTGATTGTGAGGGTGTGAGATAACTAACTATGTCATTCCTCTGTTTGTGAGTGAGTTGCATTAACAGTGGCAAATATTTCGTATATATGTGTGTGTGTCAAAACATTAAATAAAATATAAAAATAGTCGATTGTGAAGCATGATTACATAATTTGCCAACAAACTACTGTCTACAGAGCTAAAAGTGCGGCTTGCTGTTTGTTTCTGGTAGAGGCGAAAGCTTTACGACTTTAATAATCGAATACAGAATTGAAACCGGTTTAAGTTTTTATGTTTTTGACCCACATTCCAATTACAGAATTTCACATTCTGAGGTCCCGCACTTCAAACTAAGAAAAAAGCAAGATGACTTTTAGTCCTGAATTCCAAGCCAAGTTTTGATTTAGCGAAGCGAATAGTGTAAGAAAAGACTATTAACAGTCTCGATGTGCATAAAAATTCGTTAAAATTCATCTTTGTTTGTTTTTTTTTTGTTCTACTAAAAATGTAATTCCAAGCAAAAAAAAGAACTCAAAAGATCGTTGCATATGGCATTAGGTGACAACAATGATATTTTTCTCTTACTCTGCCAAAATTCAGTGCTTGAACACACTCAAAATTTTGTCTGTTTGTAGAATGTAATGAATTTCTGTGTAAGTACAATGGTAAATTGTTGAAACCAAAGCCAACATCATATACATATCTTTGCTAATGAACGGTAGGCCAACAAAAATGTTGACATCTCCTAGTCTACTACGTATTTTATATATGTTTGTGTGAAAGAGAAATAGTTGTTGATGAATAATTGGTTTACATTTTTTTTTGGTTATCCTTAGAATAGAATAGATTCATTCCGATGTGAAAATGTGATGTGATGATGAGGGTGAATGTCAGTGTGTGAGCTAATGCATAGATAAATGAGATAAGCCTCGTCAAAAAATTCAACACAAGTAATATATAAATGTGATTTGTTATATATACCGAATTGTTTAACTAGTACAAAAATAAATTTCAAGCGATATGACAGAGAGAATAGGGGAAAAAAAGGGTGTGTAATCAAAAAGCGGTCTGATGCAAAACTAAAGTTTATAAGTGTAACACTGACTCAGGAGACGGACGTGGTATGTTTTTGTCCTTGTCTTTGACCATTTTCTTCTCATTAAAGCACAATGTAATCCAATTGTTTTGCTTTTGTCGTTGATGACGGTTTCTATAGCACGAAGTAAATTATCACCACAAAAACCACGGGTACACACACAAATGCAGAGAGGAAGAGAGAGAATTTTAGTAAGAAGTACAATAAGCTGAAGTAAAATAGAAATGGATAGAGATTATCACATTTGATTACCTGTTTGGATTTTCGTTGTTGCATTGTTGATCGGTGTCGGCTGCAGTTCCATAGGCACCAGAAAACATGGAATGTCGACGTGGTATCCAGTCTAAATTTCCTCTCAATGACATGTACACACCGAGACTTTTCATTAAAGCGGCTCGAACCTGTGTATGTGATTAGTAATTTTTTTTTCTTTCTGTTATTCAGATTGTTGTTGCCGTTGGTTAAAATTGAATGCATAAGAATGATGGTATATATAATTGGTGTGTATGGGGTGAGACATTTTGACATTTTACCTCGTTATTTAGAAAGCAATAGATAGTGGCGATGAATAGACCTTGGAATGATGTGAGAAAGTGCGTTGTATAAGACCATAGTGCGAATTCGAGTGCGGTTCGATGTAATGGTGCTTCAGTCATATTTAATATGTTCGTAATACCAAGCAATGGTATTAAAACGATGGCCGCTCGTACCGCCTTACGCACTTGTTCGATATCGCTTGTATGGCTTTGTCGTAATTTTACCACTAAAACTCGAATGATATTCAGTAAAAATATGAAATTGAGTAGTAAAACGGCTAAACGAGGACCCTCTAATATCCAATAGATTGACGTAAAATTATAACCCCACCAACATCTATGCGAGAGAGAGAGAGAGAGAGAGAGAAAACAAATAAAAAAATAGATCAATAGATTTAATTGAGCAATCAACACAGCAAAGATTTTTTCTGCTTTTTTTTTGTTGCTTTCTTTACTTTAGTCCTTTTTTGTATTTTGCTGTGAATGCAGCCCAGATGGTGGTCATGAATGCAGGCAATCCCCAACCGAGAATGGCATAGAACGTGTGCGGAAAACGGCCTTGAAACACTGTCACCGTTACAACATTATGCAAATATAGTCCTTCGATGAACATCCACATAAACATTGCCGTACGTGCATACTCCAGCAACACATATGAACTCTCGCATAGATATGGCTAGAGATGAAGAAAGAGAGAGAAAAAGCACACGATGCAGAGTGCGGAGGATACAACATGAAATGCAATGCATTGAAAAATTGGACACACACACGCACACACATGTGTGTGTGCGTGTGATGTGCACATATCAAGATAAATTAGCTGAAATGTTTACCGTATTTTGAATGCCTGACATGCTCTCATTAGCTAAATCTCGTCCATTCCGATTAATCGCTTGATCTAAATACAATGTTAACCGAATTATCACTTGTATTACCATCGCCACAAAGAGGTTCTTGTGAATTTTGGTGCGTGCATTCCGTAGACTTCTACCATTTTCGAATACAAATAAAACATTTTGATATGAAGGAATTAATGAAATTGATTTTATTCGGAATTGAATAAGTTTAAATTGTAGGAATTGAACAATTTTCATCATTGATTTGGAAATTGAACGAAAAATGTTGATCATCGATTTGGAAAATGGAATTTTTCGCTTCATTTAAATGGATTTTATTTTGAATAAAATGGAATTTGGATTTTAATTTAATTGCCAAATTTCAAAAATAGACGAAATCGGTGCTTCATACACAATCGTCTACTTACCGAATATTGCAAAAAATTATCAATGATATGAGTAGTGCAAACAGTGATACGCTGGAGTAGGAAAAAAAGTTGAATTTTAGTATGAACTTTTATTTTATGAACTTTTTTCCAAGTTTCTGAATTCTTATCACCACGGAAATTTAATTTTCAATAGTTTACAAAGAAGTTTGCCGAGTTTTCTATAAAACAAAGTACTTCAGTAAACTATTCGCATATTTTCTTTTTCTTCTCTACCTCAAACGCAGAGTCTTTTAATAAAAAAAATTGAAATGAAATAACGACGGTAGTGAAAAAATGGCGAAATTTCCATGATTACAAACATTGTTTTGAGCGAATTTCATTTGCGTTCTCTTTCACATCCACATCTACCTTAATCCGAAAATTTCTAACGTCCTTGTACTTTCGGCAATATAAAACTTTCGATGCGCCACATCCTCACCATAAGCATACAATTTTTTAAATAAGTTTTTCATTTCATCCGTATAGCAAGGTGTATAATTCGTCCAACCTAGAATGAACAAAGAGAAAAGAATATGTGAAAAAAATGTGCATGTTCCATCGGAATTAAAGAAACGAGTATATGAAACGATAAAGAAACTTGCAAATACGATTTAAGTGGAATTTCTCCATAAAGTTTGACGGTTAACTATTTATCATTGAAATGGATATGCAGAAAAAGAATGGAATTGGTCTAGAGAAGCGTATTTTAATGTAGGAAAATTGTCTCTATTCTTTTCCTTGGATATATGAAAATTGTCACCTTCTCTTTCTCTACCTTAGTTTGATCAAAGCAACATGTTAAACAAACACCGTGGTTGTCGAATGAGTATAAACGATGCATACTGCCCAAGCACAGGACCGAGTAATAGCAAACGTACCGCATTGAATACAAAATCAATGGAATATCAAGGAGAAACATGAAAAAAAATGTCAATACCGTCAATCAAGCTCAATACATTTTTTTCGAATAAAGTAATTGGTGCATTAAACCGCTTTCGTTACAAAAATTTCGAGCTCAGGTTTATTTTGTTATTAAACCTGTAAATAGATTGGGTCAAGAGCACTTGGTGCAGACGATGTTCGGTTCATTTAATCGAAAAGTGATTTAAAATAATTTGAAGGCAAATAAGGGTGAGTTTTCCATTCAAAATTTACGGGGAATCGGTTGAAATTGGCGGGCGACCTTTACGATATATTTCCCATTCAAATGCAATGACCCACAAAGTTGTGATTTTCTTCTTTACAATTTCTTTTCTTTATTCATTCTCGATGCCTCATTGTTTGTGTCGCAGTATATTAAGCTTTTGAAGTTCAAAATCATTCAAAATGTTTTCTGATGAACAGTAGTCAATTCCATTGTAGGGGATTTCGTGAATTTTGTATATATCAATATGCTTTCGGATGGATTGAATTTCTTCTCCTTACTTTCCTCCATTCTTCAGCTTGTATTTGCGCATTTCTTTAAAATGTTTGAGGAAGAAAAAAAAAACAACCGGATTTATTCACCGATGACTAACCATTTGGAAACTGTGTCTTGGTTGATCCTTGTTTTACCATCCAATGACCATCGCCATCGCACCTTCTTTCCACGTATTCTGCAAAAATCGAGAAGAAGAAGAAGAAATAGAGCAAATATTCTGAATTATATATATGTAGGTGAGCTAAGGTAGATGAATATATGGTTCTCACTCTCTATGGGAAACTTTTAACGATTTTTTATTTGCATCTCGAAAACAATAGCGCTCGTTGGAAGAAAGGAAGTGCAACTATTTGTAAACACAAAAACGTATCTTCTCGTACGCGGATGACACGTTACGCTTGTTTTTTTTTCCTTCTTCTTTTCGTTGAAATCCGACAAGACTGCTTATTGTGCTCTATTGTCTGTTCGTTCGTTGCCAAGGAAATATTGTTTACCAAATCGGAAGAAGAGACAAGAAAAATTGAAAAGCGAAACACAAATGCCAGCAAATTGGTTCGCAACTCTAATTTGTATGTTGCCAAAAACTTTCTGCTCAATTCAATCAACACAAAATGTTGACTTTTACCAAAGAAAATATACCTAGAGAGTAATTAAATAATAAACATATGTTACGATGCTTTTCCTGTAACACATTGCCAGCGTTGCTTCAATTAAATCCGAATGGCAAAATTCACTTATTTCAATATTTGCACTTTGGATTGCATTTGTGGAGAGAGAGAAGGAGCGAGAGTGAGAATGAGAGCGATAGCAAGAGCGAGAGTGAGAGTGAGAGTGAGAACGAAAGTAAGAGTGAGAGCTAGAAAGAGTAAGAGAGCCGGAGAACGGGGAAGAGACCCACATAGAGGAGAAGAGAGCTAAAGAGCGAGGAAGCGGACGAGATTTTCAACATCCGACAATTTGATTTGCAAATTAAATCTTGGTGCGTTTCAAATGCGCCAGAGCACATGAACGCACCGTGTTAGACGTGACGAAGTGCTACACAATAAACCACATAATTTGTAATTAATAGTCCCATTATTCGGGTGTTCAAAGTGAAATAGTTTGTTGCCACAATTGAATGTTAACCATAAAACCGCCGGTGTTTATACAAACATGTTCCATGTGCATTTCGGGTGCATGATTTGCAAACAGTTAGTGCTCACTTCGGGCGAAACTTTTCACATTCAAAATTAATGTTGAGGTGTTGCTTTCAGCAAAAGTCTTTTGATTCATCCTGATGTCATTAAAAGTTTGATATTATTATAACTCAATGGGATATTCTCACATGGAATAACACTTGGCATTGCGGTTGAAGAGAGTTTGTACCATTTTTCATGCGTTGATGCCTTCATCCACATCATGATGACTTTTCCATTTTCTGCATCAGAATTTAGAAGTTTTACACTATTTTGCTTGACATTGGAATTAAACGATTCAACATCTGCAGTGCACAAAAATGGTTTTTCAATGTACCTCTTTGGAGCAAGAAGACGATTTTAGAGTTTGAGCTCTACACTCTATTATAGCACCAAAAAATTTAAATATTTATTCAAAATCGAAAATCTTCTGAATTCGCAGTGAAATTAAATTTTTTTTTTCTCAATAATAGTTTGAGTTCAAATATGAATCAGTTCAGTTTGTGTGTCAACTTTTGTTTAAAGTATGGTAAACTGCAGTTCACTAACATGTGAGCAAATATTTCCACCCTGAATAAGTTTCATAAAGAAAAAACGCAAAATTTTTCCCACAGTAGCTACTGTCATAGGATTTTGTAATAATTAAGTATCATGGCGTTCATGGCGTTTAAAATGCGAGCATCATTTTCTAGGCCACAAAATCACTGATTCGCTGAAGAGAGAGCCAAAAGCAGAACCAATACCGAAAACCAGGCGAAAAAACAGAAGACAACATAAATGGTCAAAAACAAACATTGCGTTGGATATTTGCAAAAAGTGTGCAACCCGTATTACAATTCATACGGAAGACTGGACCATAGTGCGGGACGAGAGAAAAATTGTAAATTGGCTCAAGTTAGAAATGCATAATTCATATTTTTCGAATGAGAGTTGAAAAAAAATCCGGGGAGTACCAAAAAACACGACTCATTTATATGTTTTATAAGGCTGCTTATAGCATAAAACAACAGTAATTATTTGCTGTTATTCTTCCGCACACATGGTTCATAAAAACAGCTGTACACTTTTGCCAACAACACACTTTTCTGGTTGGCTGGCAATTGCGATGGAGAAAAAAAAATTGTTTTCACAGCAAAAACAGTATGTTCGGTTGTTGTCAGCGGTTTTCTTCTTTTAGCATTGTCCACACAGCTTTGATATTGATTATTTTGTTTTGTTCGAATTTGTCGCAAGTGGGATGTTTCGTCGCTTCCGGTGTATTGCTTACTGTAACACCCATTAAGAACAATCACCGTGAATGAACAATACAAATTACACGTTACGAAAAGAAAAAGTTTGCACAAAAGCAAATTAAAGAGTAACCTGGATATAAATTTAATTTACGATTGAACGAAAAGGCATTTCCGCACTTTCGAACTTGTTTCCCCAAAGGCACATCACGTCATCTGCATTGTTTTCGAGCAAAAGTTTCGGTATTGTTACGTTTGGTCAGGGAAACGCATACAAATGTTTCAACATGTTTTCTAATGTGCTTAACACAAATTGCGATAAAAGCCGGTGCAGTGAAGTAGTTTTCTTGTTTGCATATGGTTTGATCATATCTCTCAAATTGCACCGTTTCATTGAAATAAAATTGAGACAATTTGCAATGCAATTCGGTCATTTCGTTGAGTTGAAAAGGATTCCCCAGTAAATCGTTATCAAAATTGGAAGTTTCCAAATATGAATTGAACATCAATTCTGATGTACTGACCTATTCACTAGAGATTTCAGAATACTGCTTCTTTTCAACTGCATCAAGGGATTTTTGTTCCATTTTCATGGAAAAATCAAGGTCAATTTGTGAATCAGTAACCGTTTTCTCAAGATAAAAGCTTTGTACAACTCAAATTTATAGATTTATATCAAACAGCGTACTTCAACTGCCATATTTCGCAGATAAATATGTTCAATTATTCATTGTATTGACTGTGTTATAAAATGCAGTGAAGTGAACAGAATACCTGTTGCCAGAATTGGCTATAGATCACTCGGCAATCGACCAAATGTCAAATCCGATCAACTTTCAAGTGAAAAATTCTTTCCTGGAAAATTCACTTGTTTGTCAAGTCGTGCCATTTTTCTTTACCATTACGTTGGCAGCAGCCATAACTCAAGAAGAAAAGTGCATGTCGTGAATGCAATCGATTTAAATTGAAAAACTTTTGAATTAAGCGATTTCGATGGCAAAAGGTTTTTTTTTTTCAATTCTCCCATCGACTGTCTCAAGCTATTTTATCAAGTGCAATTTTTGCCATTTTTTATTTCGTTAAAAGTTATTATATTGGCTAAAAGTTATTATATTGGCTTGAACACTTATACTTTTTTTATCCAGCCACCAAACACACACACACACACACACACTCACGCGGCGTGTGTGTGTGTGTGTGTGCGTATGCAATTGGATTTCATAACGTAATCGGTGAGCCGTGAATGAGAACCGGTACATTCAGATTTCGTATAGTTTCAACGCATATTTCCAATTCACTGGAGAGAGAATACTTGTTTTTGCTGTGTCCCTCTTCAATTCCAACGGTGTATTTGATTGATTGAACACAACAACCAACTATGTCATAACTGAAATTGTTTTCATTTGTGTATTTCTCTCTCTCCACCTCGTTGGAACCAAACGTCTTATCGATACGAATCAATTCATGTTACCGAACGCTAAAAATGCACGTTTGAAAACACGTGAGGCAATCCTTATTACATTTTGATATGGCGAAGAACCTTTCCAGTCACGTGGCGTATCGTAATTTATTCTGTCGAAACAAATGTGCACTCATAAATCTGTAGAACTTTCTCTTCGATACGCAAAAGAGCTCCAGCCACCTGGCTTGATTTGATCGGTTAACTTGATGCACCTGTTCATTATTATATTTTGTTGTGGGAGAATCGTAAAGTCGGCGAAAAAAAAACTTTGGGTAAAAAAAAGCTCACGAAATACCCATCGTCCTTGGCTTTTCTTTCTTGTTGGGCCGTTTCTCCTTTTCTTCTTTTCTTCCTGTCTTCCTCTCCCCTGCCTTCCCTTTGGTTGACATTGTCGGCCCAACACCATTTTTGCTACCAATTCCCCCTCATCCCGTGACTCCCCATCATCAATAATTTTCATGTTGAACCATTTTTAATATCCAACACAAATGTAGAAAATACAAAAATGTGCCAAACCAAGAACAAAAAATGAGTAAAATGAAAGCAAAAAAAAAATCAACAACGCCGACGACAACGAAGAACTGACTGAATCAATAATATGTTTTTATTTGTTTCCCATTGGGGCATGATGCATTGAAAATGAAACATGAATTGAAGCAAAAGAAATGTATAAGCAAAGTCAAAAGATTACAATGTCGACTCAACAAATAAATATTAAGATATGAAAGCAACAAAAACGACAACAACGAAAAAAAAATGCTGCTGCTTAATCTAAAGTGTGTTAAGTTCAACCTTAGGCAGTGAAGAAAGCATTCAATTCGACCATGAAGATAAAATAGCTGCAATTGCAGATCCACATTCCGTCGTTCAGCTCACACAAACACACACTCTCTTCCTTTTTACTCGTAAAACAGACACTAAAGATGATTCCATTTGTATTCTTTGTTGTATGACATTTGCACTCACCGTCTCTCCTTACTTCGTCTTTCTCTTCTGCTTCTTCTACGACTTTCTCTCGTTCTCTTGCCTTCTATCGCTCTTGCTCTCTCTCTCTCTCCCGCTCTTGCATTCGCGAACAGACCGCGGTCGCTTACAATCCATCGTGAAGTCAAATTGGAAAATCAGTTCGGATTATGAATGTGTGTATCATATGGAGAGACGGCGGTGATGTGCTTCATGTTTGCGACATGGAATAATGGCGAAAAAATTGCAAACGCATTAAATACAAGGGTAAATTTACAATATACGACTATTAGTCCATATTTTATTCCATCTTTTGCATAAGTTATATCGCGTTAGCTTGAAAGTTTCTATAGATGTACTAGATTTGGTTCTTTCCATATCGATTTTTGATCTTGTGTTGAACATAACTAAAAGAAACCGAATGTGTTGCAAAACGAAGAATCACAAATATCGCAGCCGGTTCATATTCGCGTAGCTGCACCATGCTGCAACTCGTCGGGTAGTTGAGTTTTTGATGTAGTTTGTCGCCTGGCGGAAGTTGTGTGTCATCGCGACGTAGCCAATCAATCTCTCAACAAGAACATTATCCTCATTATTATCCATTATTCCCACACACACACACACACACTCTTTGCAAGACTGAATATCTCTGTGTTCGCGTGCGCGCTTAAAAACGTACTTTACGACTTTACTCCTTAACTCGGGCATAAAAGTGTAATAAATGCTCAAAAAGAAGGACTTAACGTTGAATTTTGCTGAATCGCTGAAAACACGATGCCATGCATAGTGCACACGCTCCCTCTCTCTCATAGGGAGAGTTAACAAAGATGATCTGTTCTTTTTGAGAACTACCATTGGTAATATGCAAAGCAAACTTCAGTTGTCGATTGAAGAGCCCACTTAAAAATTCATATACACAGTGAGTGAGGCAGAGAGAGACAGAGAAAAAGAGAGAGGGAGCCATGTGTGCAAGGCATTTTCCAGGAGTCAGCGTTCGAAAAGTGGAATATGAAGAATTCCCTTTTTGTGTATGTGTGTCTATAGTTTTCTTGAGAGGAGCGGAGAGAGTGAGAATAAAAGATGTTTTTCAAAGTAAAATGGTGCATTGATAAGCGTGGGCTTAAGTGTCGAATGAATTGAATATTTGAATTTGACTTCCTTTGTTCGTCGCTATTGCACGAACGGTGCACGCAAACTCGCAATTGGTTTCACATTTTTCGACTTTCTTCAACGAATTTACGAATTTTTTTAGAGTTTCCGGCAAATTTTCTTCCAATTTCTTGGTTTCGGATTTACAGAAAAAAAGTTTTCAGTGTTTTTTACAATAACAACAACGAATCCCTATACAATATCAAACAGTTTTAGCACTTACTCGTTACATCTAGTCCATTACAATGGGGGCACGGTTGTCGAACGATTATATTTGCTTGTGTTGGTGGCCAACACAAAAATCCATCCCAAGTCCAGTTGCAATATATGCCTAAAATTAGAAATCATCAAGAGAATAGAAACTTTATAGAAATTTCCAAAAATATCTAATCCACTTGTGTTTTTCTCTTGTCTTGTCCATGTTTTCCATTTAGACCGCGACAATGGCCACGATGACGATGAAGTGGGAAGACACACCGATGCATACAATTGAATCGGTCCCCAGAGAGTGCAACGGAACATCGATCCAAGTTTATAAATAAATTACCAGCGTATGATACTCTAATATGAATGTGTCACATTGAATGAGCGTCACCAGTTCGATGGTGTATTCGTTTGGGTTCAGCCATCACATCATGTGATGGCCAAGAAACAAATTTACATACACCCAACACCAAATTCGACGTAAACTTATCTCATTTCGAATTAAATCAAGTGTTCCCACATCCAATTGAATCAAACACGCATCAAAAATAAGCCGATTTCTCTCTAAATCTGACTTTTTCTCTCTCTAATGTGAAACCAGCATAATTCGGAGATTATGAAGAAAAAAAACAGATTATCCCTTTGCGTGTTTGTCATATATCATATTGTGATATGCATCGAACCAATCAAGTTAATGCGAAAATGAACAGAGAATTCAGAAAAAGAGAGATAGAGAGAGGGTGAGCGAGAAAAAGGGAGAGAAACAGGGGGAAAATACAACGAAATAAACAACAATACGAAGTGAGAGCCCCTAAAAACAAAGTGATGGGAAAAAAATTTCAATCAAAGCATTGAAACGATATTCATATTCTCTAGGTTATTGACAAGCACGTTCCACTGCTGCTTTGGAATTTCATGCAAATGATAAGAGTCAGACCGCATAGCGTAACTGGGACAGAGAAAAAACGAATTCATCGGATCTTTTACAATTGGCTAAAAATATCAAAGCATGTGCACTTTGGCTGAAAAAATGACATCCACCATATTGCGTGAAGAGAAAACAAACATTGTCCTCATTATTTTTCATTCGAACAGTTGATGTTGACATTGAATGAAATACAAAAGAAAATATATGACAAGGTTTTCGATGAAAAAGCAATTCCAGAAAATATACTCAAAATGATTACATCGCTTCGATTTTTGCTTTTCTTTCAAAATCAACTTAATGTATTCCTGAATCCTGAATTATAATTCAATACACGTGTCGGCTCAATGAGTCCAATCAACATACGGAGTGTTTTTTATTATTCAATGAATAAAATCCAAGTTTTCCACGCTTGGGGACAAAACTAGGCTTGCGGCGAAAGAAAAATATAGCTTTCAGTACGAATTGTACCACGAATTAGACTCGATCTTTGGATGATTATTGAATTAGATCTTTTTTCCATTTAAAACTGATTTTTATATCATCATCAAATTGATTATTTTAAATATTGAAAGCGTTTTCCGGAAAACCATAATCTCTTTTACTTCTCATCCTACGTTTACTTCCTATTGAATAATTGGACACCAGTAATTCTGATCACGTATATGGAATATTTGAATTGCTGAGAATATTCGCTGGACTTACTTCGATGCGTAGTTAAATGTCAATCTTAGGAAAAACTAAACGCAAAATTGGGACAAATGTTGATTTAATCAAGATTTGAAGGCCTCGAAAAAATCATTTCAAAGTGTCACTTTTCCAAAACACACCGTTAACTATGCATCAAAACAAGTCCATCGAATATTCTCAGCAGTTCATATAGTTTCCATTGTCTTCGGTGGTCAATTATGAGTTTGCTGAATCATAAATTTTGTATGGTTGATTCCACATATCTATTACTGAGGCATTTTGGCTTTCGGTATATTTCGGAAAGAGAGAGAGACTCTCACTGGTGATTTGACTGAGCAGTAAATGGAGCGATTACTTAATAATTCATCGAGCATGCAATAAGTAGATGGTCATGCAGCACCAGCCAAAGTGTCGTGTCTGTCGATTTCGATGTGTGTATATATGGTAAGTGTGTTTCAACCCTTTTTATCCATTTCAAAGTAACGGCAAAACAAACAAGGGCCGCAGTACATATCGATACAAATAAAACACAGTAACGACGTTTAATCAATCGATAAATTCGCAAAATATTCATTTGGTTACTACTCGAGTTCAATAGTCTTTAGTCTATATCGAGCAGCGATCAAATATGTTGTGGTTTTTCTGTGACGTTTCGATTTAATGGATGTGGTTCGTGGAAGTTTCCGCGATGCAAAGCCGTTGCTTTTCGGTTTTTGTTATTTGGAACGTATGGGCGTGTGTGCTTGTGATGTGATGTGATGATGAGTGAGAACAACACACTCAAAAATACGATGTGCGGTATCATGAAACAAGTGTTGTTTTGCTTTTATGAATGAATGAATTATGAGCGAGTGTCGAATATGCTTTCTCTCGCTTATAAATGGCAAGCAAGTCATGTACGATTTAAGATTCACAGAAAAGCCGAAGAGGAAAAGAGAGGGTGAGAGTGATAGAGAAAATCGACAATTTTATTACACGGAGTGAGAGTCAAGTGTATAAAACCAGCATTGATGGTATGGGGCGTCGATGGTCGACTTGGTGAGCTCCGTATTGATTTCGACATTTGCATATTAATACAAATATTGCCGTCAAATCGACACAATAAATTATTCATAAATTATTCATTGGATCCGATTTGTGGGATTTATTATACGTATCTATCTATATTAATCGATTCAATGGTGTATGGTGATGTATGGTGTGTTCTACTTTTACACACATCGTGTGTCTCTTCCACAAATAGAAACAATAAAGAAGACAGAAAAAAATAATAACGACAAACATGTGACAGACTTATGAGATAACTATATAATTCAAAAGCATATTTCTCAACACAATTTCAATTCAACGTGTGCAACGATTTTCCATTCGGATGTTTGCAATAAAAAAGAGAATGGATTTTAAGACAAAGTGCACTTACCTGGTATCGATGGGATTTTATCTTCATAACGTGTTGAACATATGTCGGACGTTGCATTGACCAGGTAGTGGGTGACATCGGTGACGATAGTGGTTGCGTTTGTTGTCGCTGAAATTGTTGCTGTTGACACCATTTCGAATAATTCATTACCTGGCTAACCGGTTTTTAGCTTCTTTTTTTCCCCTCTCTCCGGTTTTATTGTTTGTTTTCTGTACAACTTTTGAGCGGGCCGTTCCACTTCTCGGCTTGTGGAAGTTTTTGTGCTTTTTCAACTATGCCATGAATCTAAAACAAACTTTACGATGGATGTATCGAATTCACGTTCCTTATACTTTACCGCAACTGTGGAGTGGGTGCTTTAATTTATGGCACAAAACCAACGAAACGCTGACTAGTAACATTGACAACGTGTGATTTGTGTATCGCATTTCAAATCAATCACAGTAAAAACTACACAAACTCACTCACACGGATGGATGAGCGCAACACGACGGAAAATTTCAATTTTTGCATTGAGATTCTAAAGCACTGAGAATTGTCTTGAATTCAAGAGCACAAACTTCCACGGGTTGAAAAAGCGATAGGATAAAAACCGGCCAATTTTTCAGCAAAAATAATTGGTGCGTGATTATTTTTTTTCGTGTGATCGGATGCCTCGGAAATTGTGGAACTCGAACTTGGTTTTTCTAATGTGAGCCAAACCACAAATCGATTACATATTATACAACAGTTTCACTAGACACTTTCAATTTTGCAATTTACAATCGTAGTTTGACACTTTTTCTCTCTCGATGCCATCCAAATCAGGTCGACGCTTGTTAAGCACGTGTCAATTTATGTTTCCCCGTTCTATAAACCGCACATTACGCAATGCAGCAATTCATTCATCTGCAACAAAATGGAACAACGACAGAGTGAGACGAAAATTTTATGAATGCAGTTAGCCATAGTCTACAATTTGGAGAGATAGGAAGAGGAAGAGGAAAAGATAGAAAAGAAGAAATAGAGATAGACGGAGATGCAGTTAGAAAGAGAAAGAAAAAGTTGAGGACAGAATAAGTGAAAAGAAGCTACTTGACGTGTTCTCTTTTGAAAAATTTGATTCAACTTGCAAACACGGAAAATTAACAACAAAATAATAACAGAGTGGTGACTCTTTCTCTCAGTAACTTATCAACAGGGGGTTTCAATCAAATGTCATACCACACATACATCACGATGGTCAGCTGGACCAATTTCTCAAGCAAGCATACGTTTCAATTGACAAGCAGTGTCTTCATCAAAAACAGTCCCACTTGATGATCCAGAAATAGATTGGAATGCTGTGTTCGAACGCAGTTATGATCACAGCATTCGACCCAAAGCGTTTTTCAATATAAGAATACACAGTACCATTCATGGTGACAATCGCGATAATATTTTTGTAGGTAAAATGCACGGCAACCAATTTATCATGACAAGCATATCGAAAAATACAAACGTCCATACACTCGCCATTGGTGTCCATTCGGTCACGAAAAAAGGTGCACTTCATTGAATTCGAACATACTTTTACCGATGGCTCAGCATCTCAGCATTTCGTATCTGCGGATATATCCCAGCATATCGACTGTATAAGTTGCGTGCGTTGATGTGCATAGCTATATCGACTACACACAAACAGAGAGTTTTACACACAAACAGAGAGTTTTACACACAAACAGAGAGCGCAGTGTTTTTGTGCAGTCGATGTAGCTGTGCACATCAACGCATGCCACTTATACAGTGACTTGCGTCGTCGATATGCTCGGATATATCCGCAAATACGAAATGCTGTGATGCTGAGCCAACGGTAAACGTATGTTTGATTGAATTACACGGCATTTTTTTGTCGACGAAAATACCACACGGTAATAAAAATACGACCCACAGACGGTTACTTAAATATATACGCCTATAGACGAGTGTACCAGGAAGCGGCTAAAAAAAATTTATCGACATTTTTTCTCCATCGCAACGAGAAATAATTGAATTCTATGTAACAAATATTTTCATTAGCGTGTCTTCGCCCAAAAATTCATGAAGAATGTGGCTCACGTCCAATACCTACGAACGGTTCACGCTTCGCAGTAAAAACAAAACGAGCACAAAATGGAAAATTCATTCAATTTCCATTTTCAATGAGAAGAAATTGTACATGCACAACGTGAAATTGTAGAAATGCACTTTCACTGCACATACTCAGCGGCCAAGTTCATATATATTCAATATGCTTATGAGCCAATCAGTGTGCATTTCTAGTAGATTCACTAGCTCAGCAGAGAGAGCTATGAATGCGGAGAGAGCGGAGTCAGATCGACTGAAATACACGTGATATTATTTGGCGAATTCTGTGTATAACAACGTAAGCTGATTGCGCATTTTTTTTTTGTCTTCACTGCACATTTCGGTTTTTTTTGCATTGAAGATGAATAGTGATGGAAATTTATGTAAATTGTCTAGCATGACGCTGGCTGGTAGGTTCCATTTAATTATTAGCGTTTCGTGTGAATGAAAGCGCGAAAATGTGCACCGCAAATTGTTTCGAATCAATCGTTGTGTGTATCGTCGGAACATTCGGGCGAGCGAAAAAACAACAATATCGAGAGGTGATATTTTTTCCTTGTTCCTAGCGACACGAAGCACTTCGCGCAAAAATCTTTTATTAGTGTACATTTTCGTGAAGAATGTAAAAAGGTTTTTTTTTCTGGGAAAAAAATGTTGTCAATGTGGCTTTTACAATTTTGCTTGTTTTTTTCGTTGTTAACAATACTTGCGAAAGAATGTGGGTACACGCGAGAAAAAAAACCTCAATAAAAGAACAGAGATGAAGAATGCTACTTGCGTTTAAACGCAATGACAATTTCTTTTTTTTTTGCGCGCCGTTCAAGATGCGCGAGGACAATGGGCTACATAAATTAAGGCACGACAATGGCAATGACAACGATTTGCCGCAACGTGAATGTTGAACGAGCGTGGAAAAGGAAAAAAACAGTATAACAAGTCAATGCAATTACAAGATGATTCAAAGAGCAAGTGGTGATGGCATGGGTATGGGGGGGGGCAATTATGACGATACGATCCATTAACGAATGAACTTAAAATTGGATCGCAAACGCTTCAACGAGATGAAAAAAACAGCTATCATCTCTTTTCAGCCGCAGAGCAGCTTTCATCACATGTTATCAGATAAACGCACGATGATAATGAGCAATTCCTTCACATTTGCTATTTTTCTTGAAGAGTCAGCGCGAGCGCGGAACAACAACTACTGTAGAAAAAAAAGTATGAATTGGATAGCGACACAAAAGTGGGTAAAAATTGCGAGTGCCCGAGAGAGAGAGAGAGAGAGCGAGTGCCCGAGATAACAAGTACGGAGACTCGGTGGATGCTGCTACAGTTGAGATGTTGGAACTAAACAGTATATTGAAGTATAACAATGGGCGTGTGTACAAGTGTGCATTCGACATGGCTTTCATTCTTCACTTGGCCGCTGTACTTACGCGCTGTTGCGAGCACCATTCAATGTGTGTATGTATGTGACTTGGTTTGATTCAATGTTAAAGTCATGTTACTTGATATCCACTGCATGACCATTGAACTCAGCGCTTCTTCGTTTTTGAACATTGCGTGGGTATTTGGCGTGGACTCATTTTGAGAAATATCAACCACTCGGCCAAGCAGAAGCTTTTTTATATGTGGATGTGTGCTGGAAGTGTGTACTTTTCAAAATTTCAAGATTCAAATCAAGATAAAAGAACAATCAGAAATTGTGCTAACGCAAAGTGTCCTTAGGTTAGTGACAGTTTTTTTTTCTCAAATGTGAATGGTGCCATCACCTGAAACTCCCCCAAAAGCATTTTTTAGACTTTTTCGAATGAAATTGCACTTATAGTGCAATAATGAAAGGCAATCAACTTATACATAACAATCATGCTTTTTCCCTCCTAGCTCCATTTGAAAAAATCCTTCTTTACAAAAAATTTATTGTTGAGTCTGCAGAAAAAATTGCCCATTTGTATTGTCAAAAATATGCTTTTCAATAGGATGGAATCAATTGAAGATTGATTTATGGTAGACCAACCATATGTCTTCCGTACGAAGAAATCATTTGTGAACTCGGTTACGCTGACCATGCTTTTTCGTTGATACGAATAAAGGACACTATTTTTTTGGTTTTTCCTTCAATGTCCCTGGGTAAGTCAGCATATATAGTCATGTGATTTGCTTCTGTGACGGTGAAAAAGTAATGTAGAACTGCTCATTTGTGCGAGAAAAAAATGAGAATTCGCTGAGTTCATAGTAATCGTGTACAAATTTAATTTAAGTTGCATGAGGCGCATTTTGCACATATTCACACTACCATCTTCTCACACCCATAGTGACGAAAATATTCGGGATCGTGCCCTTCTTCATATTGGGAAATTCATTTTCAATTCATGGAAAGCAATGAGAATTTGAATTTCCTTTGAGTCTCATTGAGTTCTGGAGAATAAAAAAGAATTTTACAACAAGAAGATGAAGAAAATCGCAAAAATTTCAGTCCCTGCATTTCCATATACTCCATTTGGTAACAGCGCTTCAGAGCTATAAGCCAGTCTTCTGATAAACTTTGCGTAATTCATCTCATAAATTTTGGATTTGGGCCACTTGGCTTGTGCAATGCTTTCAATTTGTCGGTAAAGTTTTCTGGTGTGAACGTGTCAAAACTGTGCTGATAATCCATTTGTATGGTGTCAAAAAATTGGTCAATTCACACCCTCTGTATGACAAAGTGTGTCCAACAATTGAACTGTCACTTCAAAGATAACTTTTCAAATCATGAAGCGTATAGATTGTTAAACTTTTCTTTGAATGAAATGAATGAAAACTGAAAACATCGTCTTCCATTGAAACTGCACAATCAGCCGATCAATTTGCTTTACAGTCCACTGAAATCAAGACTTGACTGAAATACCTGCTAACTATAGCGCAGCAAATTCAACGGAATTTTTTTTTACCAAGAAAAAGAAAAACACGAATGAGAAAGAAACGCCGTTGTCACGCAACAGTAATAAAATTATACGATAACTGCATATTTCATATAGGAAAATCCAACATTATCTATGTTTGTGCTTTGTCGTCTGCTCTCCGATTTCCAAGAAAATGGACTTTTAAGCTTTAAAGTAGACTGAATTTGTGATACAGATAGATGTGAACGGAGTTCCGTATTTTTCGTTCTATTTTTTTCATCGTGTGTGGAAATTATTTCAGGATGAAGGTGACGGTAAGAATCAAATGGTTTTTGGATAACAAGAAAAATACAAGCCGACACATTTGAGAGTCAAAAATTGCAATGGTTACTTACACATTTATTCACTAGACCTCTATGATTGATGCTAATGCATTATGGTAATGTATGATAATATACGTGTTAGTTTGCCACACAGTGTGGCCCACACTAAAAGCTTTGATCATCTGTTATCTCTAGAACGTCATTTTGCAACTGCAATGCACCGCAGAAACGGAACACAGAGAGGAATTCACAGGCAAATGAATGTCATTTCTATTGAATGAAGAATATCTCGAGTTGATTTTCAAAATGCCTCACCGAAAATTGCGCAATTTTGGATATGAATGAGAATTCCCCATATAAATATGGGGAAATGAATCACTTTGTATCTAACGGTTTTGAGTTATTTGTTATGAATAAGAACGTCTAAATACGCGGTATTTAGTGGATAAGTGGTAATATGGGTACATTTTTGGGTGATTCATCTATCAGTAATCAGCAAAGAAAAGGGTGAAGGTGTCTTCAATGTTTATGCATGCAATAGGAAATTGCAATTAGCAATGCAAAATCGAATATTTCTGACGGTGGAGGATCGGTA